CAAAGAAGAGGGTCCAAGAAGTCTTGGAGGAAGTTCACAATGGAACCAGCGGAGACATCTTGGTGTTACCAAGACACTTGGCAAGCTGCGTGAACGGTTCTACTGGGTGAACTGCAAAGAAGATGTGAGGGCCTGGTGTAAGAAATGTGACATTTGCGCAGCCATTAATGGGCCACAAAAGCGTGGTAAAGCCCCTATGCGCCAGTACAATGTTGGTAGTCCCTTCGAACGAATAGCGATCGACGTGGCTGGTCCTTTCCCGGAGACGAACGATGGCAACAAATACATTGTGGTAGTAATGGATTACTTCAGCAAATGGGTCGAGGCCTACGCGTTGCCAAATCAAGAAGCGTCCACGATTGCTGATGCCCTTGTTAAAGAATGGATCTGCAGGTTTGGTGTTCCCATGGAGCTTCATTCAGATCAGGGAAGAAACTTTGAGTCCAATCTGTTCCAAGGCGTCTGTGAAGTCCTGAACATCCGCAAGACCAGGACGACTGCTCTACATCCACAATCCGATGGGATGGTTGAACGCATGAACAGAACTATCAACCGTTATCTGGCCAAAGTAGTCTCTGACCACCAAAGAGACTGGGACAAATTTCTTCACCTGTTCCTGTTGGCCTACCGTTCATCCGTCCAAGAATCTACAGGGCAAACTCCAGCCAGCATCGTTATGGGACGGGAAGTGCGCCTACCCTGTGATCTGAAATTTGGTTGCCGACCGGGAGAAGAAGTCGCCGGAGAAGATTATGTCCACACACTACGTCAAAGGATGGACGACATTCATCAGAGAGTCCGCCTAAATATTCAAAGTGCTAGTGACCGAATGAAGGAACACTACGACATTCAAGCTGAGCATGGAGGATACCAACCAGGGAAGTTGGTGTGGCTATATAACCCGCAGAGACGTCGTGGGTTATCTCCGAAGCTACAATCCTCGTGGGAAGGGCCATACGAAGTCATGGATAGAATTAATGACGTCGTATACCGTATCAGAAAATTGCCAAAAGGAAAACCGAGGGTAGTCCATTTCAACCGTTTGAGCCCCTACCAAGGCGAAATAGAAGATCGTGCTGGGACCGTGAGAACCTGCAGCTTTGATCCCCCTGATTCGGAGATGTCCTTTGACGATTTCATGGCCCGATACAACAGCAGTGAGAAGGCTCGCTATGGTGTAACCAAAGAAGATCAACGAGACCTCTTTTCCGTGCCTCCTGATTATTCGCTCGCTCATTGTGTGGCTCGAGATTTGCGGATGTCCAGAGGAATCGCTGCGACGTTCAATGAGAAGTTTGGGCGTGTCGGAGAACTACGCCGACAGGATCCAGAGGTTGGAAGCGTCTTGAGGCTAACCGACAATGCACATGGTCAAGCAAGGCACATCTTCTACCTGGTCACCAAGGAATGGTCCCCGAGTAAGCCGACTTATCTCAATCTATGGAAGACCCTGATTGAACTGAGAGAAGCCCTGCTAAACAACAACATTGCACGATTAGCCATTCCGAAGCTGGCGTGTGGACTCGATGGTTTGAGTTGGCGTACAATCCGGAACATGATTGAAGTCTTGTTCAGATTTACGGGAATCGAGATCCTCGTTTGCTGCTACAACCCAAAGCTGAGATCGGGAGAGAAAACTGTAGACTGCTATTTCTACCAGACTTCGCAATGTACCAGGGGCCAGCTTTGCAAATACCTTCATTCACCGTATACATCTCGGGACGAGCATGTGCCTAAGGGTACGAACATAGTGGAGGCAGGTTTCTGCTTTCCGGCAGCCAGCGCCGTCTCTGGGGACCTATTCTTGACCACTCGCATCTTCAAATATCGCTCGCATCTCCTAAAAAGCCATATAACAATACACAGATGCGTAACTTTGCGTATATGCATCACATGTATTGTATATGGCTATTTCGGAGATGCGAGAAGGATTCGGAAGTAGATAATTAAGAGGAAATTTACCTGATTAACTAACCTAACCTAACCAAACTATATTCAAACGCCGCGCCCGCCTCGCCGGGGTCGCACATAGGTGTATTTGGTCTATAAACCTGGCCAAAAGTGATATTTTTTTATTTTCATTTTTTATCTTAACTGAATACAAATCTATAAATACTAAATGTAAGCACGTTTATTAGTTATTAGCTTTTTTAAGTCGTAAGTTGACTATCAAATAAATAATATATTTCAGTTAAAAGTATGAATTATCTTGAGTGTATTCTGAATATTTCTAAGATTATAAAAATAGTGGAATTGTTTGTAGTGCTTTTTTTGCAAATTGTTCATAATAACTGTCATGATGGATACAGAGCCAGCTTTGTTTGTTGGCTCTGTTCTGTTTTATGCCATATTTTTATTTTGAAACGTTTCCTTCTATTCTATTTTTTTATAATGTTTTATATTTAAAAAATCAGTGGCATTTTTATAAGGTGTAAGACTATTCGGCAATATTCCGCATGGAAATTAGTATCCGTTCAATGCTTAAAGTCTCCAGCATTGGAATATGCACAAAAATCTTGCCAATATTTGCCACTGCCAAAAAAAACATTGATTTAAATAGATTCTTAAAGGAAATAGTCTTTACCCTATTAACACCCATCCTCGCTCAAATATCGTCTATAATATACAAATTACTTTCTTGTTCTAGCATCCTCATCCAATTGCTTGGTTTTGCACAGAATGGCCCTATTTGATCGGTGGAAAGGGTTTCAGAGTAGAGGAAAAAATATTGTGTAGGAAAAACAAAATGGGGTTCCATATTAGCAACCTCTCCTCTAATTAATAATTAATATTACTAGCAAAAAAGCAAAAAAATCATAAAACATAATTTTGGCCAACTTTTAGTTCTTAATACCCCCTGTGCGCCGTCGGCGCGTGCAAAAGCAGAAATAAATAAATTTTCGTTCCGGTAAAAGCGAGAACGCCGATGAACGCTGGTTGACGGTGCCTGCCTGCTTTCACTGTGAACTAGCCGATTTGATAACACGCTTTAATTTTTCAAGGTTATAAGCGCGAGGCGGCGCGGCGCGGCGCTACTATGTAACCATATACAGGGTGTCCCAGAAATAAGTGCAAGTATTTTAACTTAACTGGTAGTATAGTTCAACCCCAGAAACACGCCTATGAGGTTTTTCTAAATAATTTTTTTGAAAATTCGGGATTTTTGAAAATATTTTTGGAATTTTTTGCAATTTTTTAGTTTTTATTAAAAAATAATTTCTTGATAATATGGCAACATAGGTAGTAGATTAAATTTACAAGAAAGAAAATCCAGAAAAGATCCAGTGGTTCTCAAACAAATCTCGAAGTATTGGAAAGAATGTGTGGACCAAGAACTATCGACTACAATAAAACAACTGAAAGCAGCATATTTTGGTCATATTTTTCGAAATAACAAATATAGTTTCCTACAGCTGATCGTTGAGGGAAAGATTGAAGGACGACGAGGCATCGGGCGTAAACGGTTTTCTTAGTTGCGGAATTTGCGCCAGTGGTTTAATATAGGAGAGGTGCAATTATCCGTTTGGCTCAAGACAGGAAGGAATTCCAATTGATGGTCGCCAACCTCCGATGAGGAGAAGGCACATGAAGAAGAAGGTTCTCAAAATTTTAGCAGAAAATATTTTTTTTTTGGAAATTTTCAAAGTAAAATAACTCCGTTATTTTGGACTTATTTGAAAAACGATAAAGAGAAAATATGTTTCTTTTATCGAGATCTACCAGCCTTTAAAATACTTGCACTTATTTCTGGGATACCCTGTTTATAACAATACACGTGATGCGTATACGCAAAGTTGCGAACGATGTCAAGAATAGGTGCCCAGATTGGCGCTGACTACCAGTAAGCGGCAAACCTGCTTGCACTGTGTTCGCACACTAAGAAGGGGGCGGTGTTGCGAGCCGGTGTGGACTCGACCTAACCTCACAATATGGCCCGCTCTCGGATGACCTTAACATCGCATAGACACCGCAATGATTCATTCGTTCGAGAAGAATCGAGACCCACTAGAATGGACTAGTACATACGAGAACATTCGAAAACCTTCTCTATGCGCCTAACGATCTATGGACTATTCTAGATTTCTTTGCTGTAGGTATAAAGCCGGCGGCAGTGGCCTAGAGAGGGCAGTTATAAATATACAGTTGACGCGCTAAAATTCAAAATAAATTCTTAGTTATAAATCGTTTGTAAATAGTTCTATAAGTCGTTTATCGTTATTAGTTTTGTTAATTAGTGTTAAATAAATAGTGTTTAAATAAATTGTGACTTTCTATCCACACGGAACCGACGAAAAACGTAACAATATGTACACTGATTTCTTTCGAAAATCGACAACTATGAAATTATGAACCCTTCCCCGACACAAATGGTACATTGTGAGACAGGAAATTGTAGAGAGAAACAAGTCCTATAACATAGGATACAATATTTTAATGAACAGGGAAAATTACAACGACTCGTTAATAAATATACAAATAAAGTATCACGACACGTAATTAAATCGTAAAGCTAAACGCATGATATACACCCTTCTCCAGAATTTTCAGTACTAATTAGGTCGACCGCGACGAATCTGCTGTATCCCCTTCCACGTCTCTTAACAATGTGCACATATTTGCTGTCCTCCATTCGCGAAGTTCGAGTTCCGGGCTTTACGCCTACTCGAGAACGAGGTCTACTCGAGAACGGTTCTGAAAGGAGCGGTGCGCGATAGCCTGGTGCCTCCATATGGCGCGGAACAGTTCTGAAACTTTATGACTCAATTAAATGGAGTGAGAGTATCTTGTTCTTGAACAGTTCAGAGCTGCTCAACTGCGTGAAAGGAGGACAGCAATTCTCGGTTTATTTCATACGTTTGGCAACGTTTTTACTGTTTTCTCTTTGTTCAGTAGATTATAAACGCATTGTACTCTTCTTACATATGGAAATCTCGACCCAAAACTAACCTTTGCCAGCCCTTTGAACAAAGACTTAATGTAGTCAACAAAAACAGCCATACCTGTTGTCTTCCCGTTAGCCCATATCGACCAATGATTTTTCTCATCTCCTCTTTTTCCTTGACATCTGGGAAGCACTTCATCATATATTCCAAAGGAGACAAGTCCAAGTCCAATAATTCGTGCAAATGTTGGTGATACCTAGCGATCCTTAAATGAGAATTTTTCCTAATCATGCCTTCTGTGGGATGAAGCTTCGAAAAAAATGTTAGTTAAGGTTTGAAATTTAAAATGTGACAGATATGCTTACATCTCCATAAAGTAATTTAAGCAACGTACTTTTGCCCGCACCGTTGGGGCCTACTAAAGCCAGCCTAGTATCTAAGTCAATTCCAAATTCTAGATTTTTATAAATATATGGTGTGCTGTCATTGTACCTGCAAAATTAGAGTTTAAACACAGGGTGTAAATGAATAAGTGTGAAAAAATTGAGGAAATGGTGTGAACGAAAATTGAGGTCTTATTTAAAAGTAAGTTGTTCTATACAGACTGGACCACTGTAGTAGTAACATAGAAGAACTCGGACGAATTAGCGTATACCGGTCCGCCGGATAAAAAGCAGGCGAAAAAATGCGATAAAATAAAAATAGGTAGATATGTGATAAAAATGTTTCAGAATTTGTATTTATTCGTGTTTTAATAGCCAAAACGAATACATAGATTCTTGCGATAGCTCTCGTGTAAAATTTATTTTTTAAGTAAAATAATGGATGTTTACGAAGTTCGTGAGAAAATTCAAATTGTAAAATGGTATTTCCAAAATAGGTCTTATCGGGATATACAAACAATTTTTCCACAAACTTTTGTAAACAGGCCAATTCCATCTTTACCTACTAATAATAATTTTGAAACACATGTGTGCGTGTCCCCACAAAAACACAAAAAGCCTGATGTGTTGATTAATGAAGAACGGGAGTTAAAGCAAGTGTTCATTTGTGCTACCGCGGATCAAAATCCCACGTTTTCAAGTAATCAAATTGCTGAGTAACAGATTCTTCACCTAGCACGGTTACAAGTGTCCTTAAAAAGAATGGATACAGATCGTATAAAGCGCGCAAAACTCAAGAAATTTTCCATAAAGACCAATTTCCAATGGAAACCAAGACCAATAGAAAAACCAAATTTAGATGAAAACTTTATTCGGAGTATAGTTTTCACCGACGAATCAAGTTTTCCTTTATTAAGTCGTCATAACCCTACACAAGTACGATATTGGTCTCGGGAAAATTTGCACGGATATTTTGAGGTACGCACGCAATATCCTCAAAAGCTAAATGTTTGGGGTGGTTTTGTAGGGGAGCATATGATTGGTCCATTTTTTATAAAGGGCAATTTAACTGTTGCAAAGTATTTGGACTTGTTACAGCAGCAGATTGTCCCTAGAATTCGTGAGTTATTGGGAGAAAGATTCTACGATATCTGGTTTCAACAAGATGGTTGCCCCCCACAATGCCCCTATTTTTCAAGAATATTTGAACAATACTTTTCCCAACCGTTTAATTAGTGGATATGGAACTATTTTGTGTCCCGCTAGATCACCAGATCTTTCTCCCAATGATTTCTTTTTGTGGGGTTATGGAAAATCCAAAGTGTATGGTCATAATAGGGCTAATAATCTGGACGAGCTTCAAGTAAAAATACGAGACGCTTTCCAAACTATTAGCCCTAATATATTAGTCAATGTCAGACGGGGATTTTACGACCACCTAGGCTTCTGTCTAGCACAAGAAGGTGGTCTTTTTGAACACTTGTTATAACTTTTTTTATTTAGATTAATATTTTAGTTTTTTTTATTTTATTGATGTATTTTTTAATTTTGGAAATCAGTTTTGGGTTTAAAGAAGTTATTTATTTTAAGTTTTGGCTTGTAAACACATTCAAATAATATATATTTAAGTATTTTCATTTTAAATGTTACCTTAAGTGAAGGTAGTGGCCGGCCGTAGCTCCAGCGTTAGTGTGTCGATCTGTGGAGCGGAAGGTACTGGGTTCGATCCCCAGCCAGTACGGTCGCTTTATTTATTTAAATAAAAATATTTATTTATCTAAATAGAGCGACCAACAAGCCGCCACCTCAAGGAAGGCAATGGCAAACCACCTTGAGTATATTTGCCTTGTACAGCCTCTCAAATATGCCGTTCGGATTCGGCAATAAACTGTAGGTCCCGTGTACTTATGAAACACTGATGACACACATCACAAGTACATGCGAGAGGTAGCCGACGCTCTATATAGAGTATGTACAGTGCCATACTAGAAGAAGAAGAAGAAGAAGAAAGTGAAGGTCAACACTTAAAATGAAAATAATAAATACACGGCACTCCTCGCGTCGTATTCCTAGTCTGTCACGACCGGTCATCCAAGCACAACTGCAACTGCTTACTGCCTGACCAGCCGGCAGTGAATCTCGAGTTCGAGTACGAACGTAATACGTAATCGGATAAACGCAAATTCGTCCGGCAACCTGCTATGTTACTAGTAGCCTGGTCTTCTCTGTATATAATTTTCTATTTGGTGTTTCCATACAAAGTTATTAGCTTATGCAGTGTGAGCCAAGATAACACTATATTTTTTCAAAAATTGTTTACAATAAAAAAATCAGTATTAGTAAGTTGCGATTTTGGGTAACTATGTTTCATTTCATGATGTGATAGCATTTACAAATATCAAGGAAAAGTACGGAAAGGACGAAAACTACCCCCATCGCTACATATATTTTAGTGTAAATATTTTTCAACTCCACCGATGACAGATTTTTTTTCGTAAAATGGTCCCGTCTAGTATTTACTACATGTTTTGTCTCTTGTAAAAAGCGCCACATCGCATAGTTTTTGAGAAAAACATTTTTGGAGAATTTATTTTTCCAAGCAGACCTACAAAATCTACAGGAAGTTCCAATATTCCGTGAACATAGAAGAACAACGTATTTTTTAAATCAAAATAAGTTAATTATTCGCCTTTATACAAAAGTGCTTCGTTTGTCCGTTATAGGGCATCAATAAAAAATAAATCCGAACATTAATTAATTTAAAATTTATTATTTTTTTTAAGCTTTTTATAAAGCCAATTGTCAAATATAATTTGTGATAAAATTCCATATTTTTTCCAACTAGAGTATTAAAGCATAATAGATTTTATGCGCCTCCATAGCTTTATGGGACAAAAAACAATTTTTGGAAATCAGCTTCTGAAAAAAAAATTTTTTCATCAAAAAGTATGCGCGATGACGTTTTTTACAAGAGACAAAAAATGTAGTTAATACTAGAAGGAAATATTTATACTACTGGAAATTATTTATACTAAAATTTATGTAGGGGTGGGGGTAGTTTTCACTTTTTCCTTTTCTTCATTTTTGTGAAAGTCAAATGTTAAAACACTTAGCAAAACATAGATTTAGACATCCAAAATTTCAGTCAAATCGGAATAACGGTTCTTAAGATTTCTGAAAAAATGTGTTTGGTTTGTACAGAGGTAAATTCTGCCTAATAGTCATTTTTACTCCAAAAATACGTAGTAGTTCTATGTCCAAGGAACATTGGGACACTCTGTATAATATTACAATCTTTATTTTCTAATCTTTGCTTGGTAAACGCGTTTGTACAGAGATTGAGATAAAGATTAGGATTTTGGTTTGCCACAAATAAGAAAATAATTTTATACAAAAACGCCAAATTGAAAATTCTTGATAATATAAAAAGTCAATTATTTTTAAAGACATATTAAAAAAAAGGTGAAACTTACCTAAAACTAACATTCTGGACCATAATAACTGGAGGTGGAATGGTACCACAGCTTGGAAAATAAAACGTAACAATTTTATCACTGACTACTTTTTCTGTTAAACCTTGAGCGACCATTTTGGCGAGAGTTTTTTCTTTAGATTGTGCTTGTCTAGCTAACTTTGCCGAACCATGTCCAAACCGGGCAATATAGTTCTATAGAAGAAAAAAATAAATATTTTAATATAACTTTGTATAAATAAATATTTTAATTTAATATCAAAATTCATATTTTAAATATTACTTTAGTAATCAATGGAAAATTTGTAATTTTTGTAGTGTAGCGAATTTTGCTCTATCTCATAAAATAAAGTGTGGAAACGCTAAATTTGCTTTTATTAAAATAAGGACAACTCTGGTTTGAGTTAAAGGGTTAAACAAACTGGTGCTCGTTTAAAAGAGTTTTTCTTTCTTAATAATCTGCTATATAAATTTGGTTCATGGTAACTAGAGGGCGCTGTTTGACATCTTAACCCTACGGAGGTCGCGCGCGGACTCACAGTCCGCTGGTACCTATTTTTCCCGATAATTCGAAAATCTGGAAACATCAGATGCTGCGCAGCTTAGTATCTTCCTGTCTCTACATATTTTATGAGAAGTGTACGTTTGCACATCGTTTAGGGTAGTTAGTATCTTTTTATACTAATATACGCAGTGCCAGTCCGCGCGCGATATACAGCCGGAGTCCATTCTTAGTTGGTCACTCGGTACATGTTACGTTATATGAAATTTCACAGGCATTAACAAAGAAGGGTACCTTCATATGGTTGATTTGATCTTGCTCCCAATTATACTGTTTCATCTGGTTTTCCAACAATTCCATTCGAGTTCTGACAAAAGCGTCGTAGTTTCCGGTGTAATATTTAAGCCGTTTCTTGTCCACGTGAATGATGTTAGTACAAACACCATTTAAGAAGTCCTGGGAATGAGATATTAGCACCAAAATCCTTTTATAGCTATAAGAGAAAATAATTTTCAGACAATTACATAATCTAATATTACTAGTCTTTAAACGCTCTTACTGTTTCAATTCCTCTTCAAGCCATACGCATGCGTCCAAATCCAGATGGTTCGTCGGCTCGTCAAGTAACAGCAAATGGGGCTTAACATATAAGGCTCTAGCTAAGGCAATACGCATTCTCCATCCTCCACTAAAATCTCTAGTTTTCTTTTGTTGCATTTCCTTTGTAAAACCTAAACCGTGCAATATATTCGCGGCCCGGGCCTCGGCCGTATCCGCAGAGATTTCATCGAGTCGATCATAAATGTCCATAAGTTGTTCTTGTGACTCTAAAATTGCATTCATATACAGGGCGGTTCCAGTTCTATTCGGGAAAGTTCAGCAACATATTCTGCAGATAAAAATAAATATAAAAGTTCGAATAAATTTATTCCCTAAAATGCTTCGATTCGGAGATATAGGGTGTCGAATTTTTATTTTTATTTCGATTTTTTCAACTAACGTCGATATTTGGATGAAAATTGGTGTCTGGGAGTTTTTTGACATGATAAATGTGATTTTTGTGTCTTATGCCTCTTACTTGTAAAGAGCACCACATACATATTTTTAACTGGTTTGGAGAGAAATAACTTTTCGTCCGTACCTGTAGAATATTTAGGAGGAGAGTTAGTCACCGCGACCTTAAAGATCTATTGTGTGTTCCCCTTTCTTGAGTTATAACGAGTTATAACTCATCATACAGTCTCAAGACTTTAACAAAAGCCAGTATCTGAGACGGCTCCACAGAGGGCAGCTCTCCATCCTTGACATCAGCCGTACCAAAGTTCATGGCACGGATGGTCGTCGTCTCGGCGCACTCAGTGATGAGGTGTTCTGGTGTTTCCCCATATTCCCCACAGAATCTGCATTCGCCGTTGTTTCTCAGCTTCAGCCTACTGAGGTGTTCGTTGAGGAGACAGTGTCCTGTTAGAAACCCCGTGACAATCCGAAGATTGTTTTTACTTAAATCAAGGAAAACCTTTGATTTTTCTCGGTCGTAGGTTCTGAGGAACTTTTTCGAGTGTCTTAGACCGTTGGAGGACACCCATTCCAAGTTGCGGTTGGAGTCTTCCCGATTCTTCAGTTCCGCTTTCAGTTGGTTTCCGCTTGAAAAACAGAACGGTTCTGGTCCAGTTAGTGGAGTCTTCGCTCCTTTCCTAGCTAGATCATTTGCTTTTTCATTGCCTTCTATCCCTTGGTGAGCAGGCACCCAGAGTAGGAGGATTTTATTTTCTTTGCCCAACTCGTTGAGCTTCTTTAGGCATTCTTTGACCAACTTCGAATTGATGGTTACAGAGTTGATCGCGTTTAGTGCTGCATGACTATCGGATAGGATGGCAATTTCCTGTTTTCGATAGTTCCTATCTAAGATAAATTGTACACATCTTTCGATAGCGTAAATTTCTGCCTGAAGGATACTGGGGTAGGTGCCCATTGGTTTGGTTTTGGAAGCTTCAGTATACCACGTTATGGTATGGTCTTTTATATGCTGAGTAAGCGTTTCTTCCTTCCCAATCCTTTTTATTACTCAATACTACAGTGAGGTGTTTCTCAAAGTTGTAAATTCTTGGTATATCATCCACTGGAGAGAGTTGGTTTGGTTGATAAAACTACTAAATAAAAAAATATATATTTCCATCGTTTTTTACGTAAAAAAGATCTCTTGGTAAAAATCGCTACGAGTAATGGTTCTCGAGATATTTGGAATGGAAATAGTCAATACATGTCATTAATGAAAAAAAAAAAATAAATAAATATACATATGTTGACTAGATATGGACTAAATGGGTATTCGACTGAAATGATAAATATAGCAAGAACAAATTATAACACAGTTTCCGTTACATCTTTGGCACAAAAAGATTTCAAATTTATTATTTCAATCTAATAACTATATACGGTAATCGCAAAACAATTTTCGATGGACGTGATCAACTTTGAGTGACAAGCGATGGCGACAGCGCTGCCAGATTGTGATGGATTTATGAGATCAATCTTAATTTAAAAGTGACAAATAATATATGTATTTATTATATCATTTTTTTAAGATTTTTGCTTTTTATTTTTAATTTAGTAATTAATTGATTTAATTGTTTTATAGCTTATTTTACTTATTAAATATTGGCAAAAAATAGTCCATTATGAAGATTATTCTAAGCATTATTATATGTTATTTATTTATTTATTGATGTACATCTTACAACACTATAAATGGTAATAACAAGTAAGAGGGTGCCATTAATGCACAAACTAATAATCACAGAATTTACTAATAACTAACGTAGAAATATCTTTGAAGGTAGTGTAATGACTGCAGTCAAGAGTAATAAAGAACCTTTATTGTCACGTTCTCGTTCAAAATAGTTTAGCAGGGAAGCTACGAGCTCTTTGCTTCCACTGTTTAATTTCTTCGGCATATTTTCAACATACAATTTCAAGAAATGCAATACAAAAACTCCAAATTTTTGTTTTTAAAACAACTGTTTGTGCTTAAAAGTGCAATTTTTAAAGAAGACTATGAAAATAGGCAAAAAACAAGAAAATTACTCACAAAGATTAAACAACAACACGATATTAAACAAGATAATGACTGACACTATGATAATTGTTAAATAATAAACGACAACGTTGCTGAACACGGCGCAATGTGACCAACATAGCGATAATAAAATTCTGTTTAAACTAATTTTGCAGATTTAATCTAAATAAAATATCTGTTACAATCATTTGCTCTATAAAGTTAAATGAAGAGCTGCTGGGTATCTTAAATTATACAAAAAATTCAAACATTTTTACCAAAATTTCATTCAGTCAGGTTTATATGCTTTAGTGTCAATTTCGATATGATTGATGACGTGCATCGGAAAATGTTTTCCGATTACATTAGTCAACATGTTAATTTTTGTCGATTATGTCGTATTGACTATTCCAATTCCAAATATATTAATAAACCATAGCGATTTTTACCAAGAAACCTTTAAACGTAAAAAAACGACGGCAATATATATTTTTTCACTCAGTAGTTTAATACAGGTACAGACGAAAAGTTATTACTCTTCAAAACACTAAAAAAATATGTTGGTGGCGCCCCCTACAAGTAGAAGTGACATCAAAATCGAATTTCTCATGTCAAAAAAATTATTTAGAAAAAACCGAAATAAAAATGAAACTTCTACACCCTCTTTCTCCGAAACGAAGCATTTTGGGACACAAATTTATACAAACAATTTTACTTATTGCAGATTATGCTGCCGAAATTTCCCGAATACAATTCGGACCACCCTGTATTATAGAAATTTAAAAAGATCAGAACGCTAATAAAACGCGCATCGTCAATTTCTTCTTTCTACACGCATCATAGCAGTACCTACCTTTTTAATAATAATTTATTCATGTTACAATTACCATGATTAGGATTTTCTATTCAACAAATTAATTTTTAGCAATGAATCCCAAAACCAGAACATAAATATTTATTTTTTTAATAAACCAAAAAATAGAATTATAGAATGTATGCGAATAAATGACACTGGTCTTGCCGATTCTTATGTAAAATGACCTCCCGAATCCAAATATGACCTCCGCTTTTGTCCATCACCACCTATTTTTTTAGGGAAATCCTCTACCTATTTTTACTGCTTTTCGATAGTTTGGTGGGAGGAAAAAGGATTATTTTGGCCTCTACATTGTCATTTCTTGGGTACTTGAGATATTAAGTGTTCTGAAAACATGAACCTTTGTAGTAAGGCGGTAACTTTTTCAGGAGGGGGAAGTACAGCCAGAGAAGAACAATCGTAGAGAAGCGACAAAACGAATCCCGCCAAAAAGTGGGTAGGTAAACCTGCTAACTGTCATCTCAACGTGTTTTCGGAATACGGCCAGCGTTGTCATTGTTAATATAAAGTCCTGAAATCTTACTATTTTTTTATTTGTGTATACTTGTATTCATTTAAAACTTCCCAATATGGCGGACTTCAGTATGGGAGGCTTAAAAAACGAAAATCTCTAAACTGGAATCGACTGTACTTCAAATCGTTCAAATTGATAATCTGTGGTAAATCCAATTGAACTCTGACACTTGGCTGACATTGACGTTTGCGGTTCCTTTTTCTAAATATTTTCATTATTTTTTGAGTTTTTATTCACAAATTCTACTTGATTTTGTTCTTTTATTTAACCTGCAACCTGCAGTACTAATTATATAGTTATAAATAATCTTTTCACCGATCAAGAATTGACAAATAGGTTAGAAGATATTTAAAATGTGTAAAACGCTTAAAAACGTATTAGAAAACATTGACTCGTTCACAAATTCATGAAAATAAATTAGTCCAGATGTTTGTAAAAAGGTCTCTAATTATTTTGAGAAGTTTCCTCGTATCAGTAATTTTCAGGTTTGTAATATGTACTATATGATAATAAATAGATTAAAACTTATATTTCAGGAAACAGCGCGGGCAATACAGAATATTGTAAATCAGTTTTAAAATATAAATAAGGTTTAAAACGGGTTTAAAAGTTGAGTTAGTAGAGAAGACCTAAATAAGGTAATGTTGGTAATGGGACCAAACATCAAATAACACTTGAAATATATAATTATGTACAATAATTGCAAGTAGTTTTTATGAATCTGTTTGATATCTATTGCATTTTTTTATATTTCTTGAAATATATATTTTTTTTACTTTACAGGATACACAAAGAATAATAAAAAATACAGTTACTCACTAAAAGCACTTAAGGTTTGTAATAGATGTAGTTAGAATATCAAACACGAAACCAAACCAAAAATTGTTTTATTTTACTGGTATTCCTCACATTTGAAGGGAAAGTCATTTCATAAATAAGCAGGACATTGTATAGTACACTCTATATTAATAATTGTTTTTTATCCTATACTTGTTAGTTAACGCATCACTTACTAGGTATAAAATTTAGTACTGATTAACCTATAGTTGTGGTTGTGATATATTCTGATGTGTTTCTGGCAATTTCTTTGAATAAGAAGACTAAGGAAGGAGCATAATGCTATCCATGTATTCATGCATGGTGGGCGGAAAAGCCACCATAAAAGCTCTCTAGGGTGGGGATCCTTGACAGTTCTGTTTGACGATTCATTTGACACAGTTGAATTTGATTTGAAATTTTGTGGATTTGTCAGTCTTTACGGAGCTTATTTTATGTTCTTCATTATTTATTCTACTACTGATAGTAGTATAAAGGTAGTAAATCTAGATGGAAATTGTGGCAGAACTTAAATTAACAGTGACACTATCGCGATTTATCGAAAAAGACTCATTGTGTAGCGTGCGGTAGATCTCGGCAAAAATTGAGTGAAATAACGGAACAACTTTTCGCTAGTAAGTGACTATATAATATACATACGTGTGTAGTAAACCGATCATTTATGAAATTCACTTAAATTAACTAAATTATATATTTTTCTTGCATTTTAGCTTTTATTTATTACTTGTCAAAGATTAGATGTCAAAAGAATTTAGATACGTTAATTTGACTTACCTGCTTCAGTAGCGTATCGGATGTTTGTGTTAATAAATACTTATTATAACTTATCTATTTTTATTAGAATTATATATTTTTATAACAATTTTAATAACTACCAACATTTATTCACAGCGTAAAATAAAACAACAAATTATTGAGTCTACCCCACGTCTACCCTACATCATAGTTTTACATTTTTTAAATAAAATTAGAACGACACTGATAAACCGGAATTTAAGTCGGCCATATTTGAGGCCCATCGCGGTGTATCTAAGATTTTTGATATGCTCCTTCGTTAGTCTTCTTATTCAAAGGGCAATTTAAAATAAGTTAATATTTAAACAAACATTTCTGGCTTTCCTGACAGGAGTGTGGACACAAATTTAATAAAGGTATAATGTGGATAATGTTCTGATTATTACAGTTTGCATGGATGTTTTTGTATATATAAAAGAACTATTTAAATAAGATGTTTGAAAATATATAGCTGTTTTGCATACATCAATTCAATTTGTGATTAACTGTACTGAAATAAAAACAAATTAAGAGAAATGGGGTGATCTATCAACTATAACATGAAAAGCATCATCCTATTTCCAACACTCTTCTATTAATTTCACTTATTAAACAACTATAATTATTCAATAATCTTGATAATTCTAGGAACTCTCAGATATCGTCAAAACATGAAAAGAAAAATTTACTTCCTATAGTTCTTACGTCCCTTTAACTGGAATTTTAGAAACAGGGGAGTTAATATTCTCACTGAGAAAGTTTGTAAAATACCTTTAAGTAAAATCTCTTCAGATCTGCGGTAAAATACCTTTATTCTTATTAAATAATTTCAATAATCTATGTTTTTATTTATGACAACCACCTAATAACCTAACTTTAACGTCAACTTGACAAACCTAAAAAATATTATTGTTAACCAAAGAGTAAATCAATTTCTGAATTCGCTAACGCCAACTTATTTTTCATTAAAAAAAATTACCAATTTTCGTAACTAGGTCGGCCATATTGAGGAACTTTAAAAGATTAGTACTATACATAATTAATCTTTTTGAATTATTTTTTCTATATTTTATCCTTACCTTATAATAGTACTTAAAGAAAGAACTAACTTTCAGAACTAAATATTATTAAAACTTAAAATAGATGCAGGTTTGTTAGGGTTTAATAAAAAATACTTAGAAAATTAAAACTATTAGAAAATTGCATATATAATATATTTTTTGTTTTTTTTTATGTAAAATATGATTTTTTAATATACAGAGTGAGTCTTAAATAAGTGTAAATATTTTGAGGGCTGGTAGATATCGATAAATGAAACCATTTTCTCTTTACCGTTTTTTCAAAAAAGTCCAGAATAACCGAGATTCTTTGAAAATTAAAAAAAAAATTGCTTACATTTTCTGGGGTTTCTTTCTTGTAAATTTAATCTACCCCATCTATGTTCTCATATTATAAAGATATTATGTTTTTTAAAGTGTTTTGATGTATTGTGGTGAATTAGTGTTTTATTTTGCTGTTGTAACACCCCGGTTCCAACCCTCAACTCTAATCATGTTATTTACTTTTTGGTTTGTTGTAACGCTTGTGTTAACACCTGGTAAATAATCGAATTTTTCTTAAAATTGTTTAATTTATCATTTTGATTAAAAAAAACACTTTCAAATATTAATTTCGAAGCAAACAATATTATAAGATACGATTTGAAAATGTCCCTCTAAAAGGAAGGTTTGAAAATGGTTAGAATCGCGGAAACCCGTGTTAAATCTTAAAAGATAGTTACTATTCAATATGATTCCTAAATATTTCTAATATACTTTTTACTGAACACATGTTTTTTTCAGTGTACGGCTTTTCTTATTTCTTTTGCCTTCATTGAATTTCTCTCAGTATAACTATAAACTACTATAAACATGCGATCTGTCACGTACGCCAATTTGAAGGTCACAAAACTTGGTCCCATATTAGGTATTTACTTTAGATAGTTTAAACTTACTTTGCTATAAATATCGTAATCTTAAAACTATACAGGGTGTTCAAAATTCTATGCCAAACTTACTAAAATATAAAATCATTTTTCTTCGTTTATTTTCTTAAATAGAACACCCTGTATATTATTCCTTTGTTAGATGGAGAATTAAAAAATGAATATTTTTCGAATTTAAAGTACTTGGCTGCATGATTATTACGCTCATCGTATTTTTAATCAAAACCTAATTTTTACGTATATTTATGAATAGGAAAATACACTATTCACAGGGTGTCTGTCAAAAACCTGCCGCTAATAGCAACTACTGCCGCAACTAGGTGTTGCCACGTTGCAAAGTTTTACCTACAAGCCCGGCAACAGTGCGTCGGGCATCTTTAGCTCCTACAATAAAAAACTTAGAAATTTTGTATAAGTGCCAAAGTAAAGTATATACTAGGATCTATTTCAGGAAAATATTTTAACTTCTACAGGGTGGCTCAAAAAAGTATGAGTGGATCGAGATGATTTTTTTAAATGCTATTATCGAACAAATAATTACTATCATCAAACAGTGATTAAAAAATGATAAAAATAAAAAAGGTGGGTGATATTTGAAAACGGGATCCATATTTGGATTCCAGACATCATTTTACATAAGAATCAGCACAAATGGTTGCAAAAGTTCGGATTTTTTTTTTGTTTGTTTTTGCAGTGTGATCAAGCTCCTTTGAATTAGTTATATATTATATATTATATAATACTTATTCAGTTATATTATTTTCTTACCATCATCTTCACAGGCTACCAAAGATTCGGCCAGCTTCTCGAGACGTACCCTCTCCTCGTCGACTTCCATAACACACTGCAGAGCAGATTTATCGGAGGCCGGCATTTCCCTTGTCAAATGGAAAATATCGATATGATCCGGTATAGGAACTTCTCTAAAAAAAAATATTTTAATAATTATTGTAAAACTAGCATACAGCTAATTTTTACAGGATGATTCACGGCAATGGTAGGTTAGAAGTTTATGGAGAACTAGTGAAAGGGAATTTTATGAAAATTTGGATTTGCACATAAAAACATTGGATTTTCACAATTAAAATATGCATTTTCACATGCATATTTTAATCTATAGGTGTGTAGCTTCTGAATAACGTTAAGCATCTAGCTCATTTGCTCAGAATTAGAATTTTCAGAGTTAAGCAACTCGCATAATGCAGGACATCATCATATTTATTTCAAACCAATAATCAACAAGAATATTAGTATAATTTAACGAAATTACTGTACCGGGTGGTCGAAATTGGTCTGTTTTAACAGGGCAAACCTATTTCCTGACTAGATAGAGCAAAACCGACATAGATGTCATGGGCTCGATTTCTGAGACACGTTTAATGACATAAACAACCTGTTGATATTTTCACTTCCAACTGAGATACGGGGTCTTTTTGAATTTTTTACCATTTGGAAAATTGTGCTTAACTTTTGTATTTTGCGGAATAATAAAATTCTGTAAAAACCTTCTTAAGGCACTTTTTAAGCACAATCCAATGGCGTAGTCAGTTTTTTTCTACGCTTGCTCTTTTTGTCAGAATAATAAAAGATAATTTTTTCAAATAGAAATCATAGTTGGCTATGAACTTAAAAAAATGCTGACGTATAGCCGCCAATACTAAAATATGTTAATAAAAAGTTGGTAGGCACTTCTTTTAGTTTCAAAGTAAAGGAATTTTCCCAATTTTTTTTATCTCAAAAACTGCGACTTTGACTGATTTTGATGTTATTACAAATTTTGTTGCAAATATTATTCCTAATCTTAAATTGAAAACCGCGTTTCGCTAGCTACTGAAATTTTGGAGTTACGATTTTTTTTAAATTTTTAACCCCCTCCCATACCCCCTTACCAACCCCCCACCCCCACCAAAAACTAATGGCCAGATTCTCAGGTGCCACAGTATTTTTGTGCCAAATTTCGTGAAAATCAGTTTAGCGGTTTTTGAGTTATCGTGTTACAGACGGACAGACAGACAGACACCATGAAAATATTTTGTATTTCGGTCATTTATGACCCAAATAACTCATTTTGAGTGAAATTACAAAAACTTTTTTTGCCGATCTTAATAGCCTACCATACCTGTTGGTATGGTCGGCTAAAAATAATATTAATATATTTGTAAGAGAACCAATTCATATGATGCCATTTGTGCCCAAACATTAATTGACTATTTGCAATGATTAACAATAGCTGTAATTACTAAAAATATGTATGTGTATATGAGATATTGTGTTAAAAATAACATATAACAAAATGTTATTTTGTTTATTGACAAATCCTTATTTAAACAAAAAAGACAAGTTCGCATACATTTTATTTCATAACCATTTTTTTATATTTTCAATGTTTTATACTGTTACAAAGTCCATAAATGTTACAATTTTTTTTAAACCTTTACCACCAAGTCAAGCTTAACATTAATGTAAGTATATTTTTTGTGCAATATCTTAATTAGCCCCTTTTCATCTAAATATCACACCATTCTTAAATGCAAATAAGTAACACAATAAAAATTACTGTTTAAAAATTATTTTACTCCAATATATTTGTTTTTTTTTCAATTATTTTTAACTTCTAAATGAAAGAAAAGTTCCTGCTAAATTATCCTCTACATTACTTAATCAAGATAATGTCAGTCCAAAAATAAAAATAAAGTATTAATAGATAAAATCAAATATTTCCGAAAGCAATATTTTACCTGTTACCAAGAACAGCTAAAAGAGTTGATTTTCCACAACCGTTCAAGCCGATAAGTCCATATCTTCTGCCACAATTCAATTCAAGCATAGCATCTTGCAACATTTCAGAACCATGAAAAGTAATAGAAAAATTTTCAATTTTAACATCCCTCGATTTTGGATGCACAGCAAGGGAACCAGTACATGCTCTTGCTTCGGCATTTAGTTTTGCATCGGCTTCCAGTTTTGCACAAAGTGCCTCTGAAAATTATAATTAGATAGTTTTCAATGTATAAAACACTGATGTTAAAAACTTTTGAATTAGGACAGTCTAGAAAACATATTTTACCTTCAACACTAAGTTCCGTTGTACCATTTTGACTCCCATTAGTTATTGTGGTTGATTTATCATTCTGCTCTTCACCTTTCTGTTGCTTTTTTCCCGTTTGTCTAGCCTTTGCAGCGTCTTTCTTACGCTGCTGTTCACGTTTCTTGGCATCAGAAGGCATTTTCTAATAACAGTGTATTTCGAATTAATTTAATTTCTCACTAGTGCTTAAGAAACTTTAAAATAATTGCTAAAACGTAAACTAATACTTTCACGCTTTTTGTGTCCAACTTGGGAAATTTCCGCAAATCTTAAAAAAGGTCACTGAAATTTAACCTAAGTTTCACAAGATGTTTTTAAAGGCAGAACAAATATAAATAATTAAACACAATAATAACTATAAACTACTCACTAAATATTGCTAGATCAAGAATACTGCTAAAATATACTTTTATTAATACAAATCATAAAGTTTATAAAGCTTTTTATTGCAAAAATCTTTAACGAAGCCGATAAAATTTGAGAGAAATTTTAGAATTTGTCAGTGGACTAGTGAATTTATCTGTCATTATCTAGGGATATTATTTGAGAATAACACACGGGAATAACCAGCACCACCTCTACTCAAGGCTAATCAACATGATATGGACAAGGCAAATATGGCGGCAAAGGCAGCGCATTATTAAATTGCTTTTAAATAATTGTTTATCTTTAACCTGAAAAGCTGGTAGTGGTTTCTCGTTCCGATTGCATACCAGAAATAATTAATTGTCTCTAGTTTGTTGTGCTTCTGCAACACGTTTGTTTAGTTCTTAGTGTTCAGTGCGTTGATGTATCAATGCGTGATCAGAAAATTGTGATAAAATAAGAGTGTAATAAAAATCCAAACCAGACATTCCACATAGGGAATTTCAAACTTTTGTGCTTGTCGTACCTACTCCTGTATTATTAATTATTTTAAGGTAAGAACTAGAAGTATTTATCAAGATATTACACCTAAATGAGTAAACCACCAGTCTGCATAGTACTTTATAATGGTTACTTACAATAATCAAAACATTGGTATTAAAGGGTTAACATTTTATTGTAGCATGCCTTTTACATGCTCTGTTCCAAATTGTCTCGGGAATTATAGATGGGGTCCCAAGGTTTCTGCTTTTATATTCCCTAAAAAATGACGAGCTTCGTAAAAAATGGTTGACAGCTATTAAAAGAGATAATTTCACTCCTACTAGTAGTTCTCGGGTAAGAAGTGCATTAAATATGTCTCAAAAAGGTCAAAGCCTCTGTTACCCTAGTGGGGATGTAGTTATGGCTACTGCTTACACTTACCTCACTATAAGTAAAATATTGGAAGAAGAATCAAGCTTTTTACATCAAAAAGATTACAGAAAGATATTGACAACATTGAGATTTGAAAATATAAATGGCTTGGATGTAAGTCTTTTTTTAGGTCACAATTGCCCCTCACATATGTCAGAATTTATTATTTAAATCTTGTTCAGAATATCCAATATTTTATTGAAGAACTATGCAAAAGAAAGGAATGACGTCTTTACCACAAAGACATGACAAAGACCCAATAAAGAGAAAGAGCAAAGAAAACTATTAGAAAAAGGTATTTAGTTTTTTTTTCTATATATAATCTTGAAACACATATATTTTTTAGTTATCCTCACCTATTATTTTAAATTTATTCCCATTTGTGTAATGCTGCAAAACATAGAAAAAATATTCCATATTTTTTGACCCAAACCCAAGAACGGTAAACTGGTCGTTTTTTTTTAGGTTAACTGTTCTTGACCCAAACCAATGTAGTTTATAATTACAAGAGCATTTACCAAAGGCTTTTACTAAGACAAGTGACTTCAAACCTATACTGTATATATTTATCAAACGTTCAGTAAATTATAAACTATGGTAGGTAAGTGTTTTCTTTAATAAAACAGGGTTTAAAATACGCGCCTAATAAAGCACTTCTATCTACGCCATATTGGAAAAGGTTGAAAGGCCTTGTATGGAGGTGGTGGTGGAATAACATCACAAGGCGTTTACGAAAATTGCACCGGTAGGTACCGGGTAACTTTTTTACGTTCGAAATTGATAACGGTATTTTTGTTCCTTGTTCTAATTTTATCACACATTTACCGGTGCATGTATTCGGTTTATAGATTATGGATCGGGGTAAGGTCTCGGTAAATGACCGTTATGAGAGAAAACCGAACCTATAAGAGTTTAAAACGCGTTTAAAAAATCAGAGATCAGAAACCTATTATTGAAAATCGCCATGGACATGGATGTATTTGAAATTGAGCAGGGGAAATGCTCTGTATGTGGTCTTGAGGGAGATTTGACTGAAATTCAAAATCATTTTGAAGAACATATCAGCAGAGATTTAACTGGAGAATTGGATGAAGAATCTACTTCATTCATCTTTTCATTCATCTTATAGGCTTAGAGGTTGTGGCACAAAATCTTGTTATTATTATATTAATTGTATGTTATTATTATATTAATTAGTATAATAAATTTAATCTTAAGATATTAACCAGTTCGTTTTAAAAATATTCTACCAGATTCATATTTGACATAAAACATATGTTTACCGCTGGGTAACGGTAAATACCGAAGGTATAATTTTCGTAAACGCCTACAGATATATGGCAGCCAGGGCGACAAATATTAAACATATAAATTAACTAAGGAAAACTTACCACTATACAGAGATATAGAGATTGGGCGACCGAGTTTCATTGTTTATCTTTGTGTGATTTATGGTCTGATCCCATAATCTGATCTCTGAATGTACCTATTCTCTGATCTGATCCAAGGATCTGATCTTTATTCTGTCTTTATGCTCATTTACCCTACATCTATATCTCTGTGTTTTATCAATTATTATTGATCTGTGGTAACAAATATATTTTTTAGTATTTTTAGGTTAGAACGTGGTTGAAATAAAAATATTTGATGAACTTTATGAATATTTTATAATTTTTATAATGTCTGACAAAAATACAGACAGTATGGAATTTTCGAGTATAGAAGAAACTATTCTCTTCCCAGGTTATAGTTCTCTGGCAGATTTTACAAAGGTAATATTTTATTTACTCAGGTTTGATTAGGCCTTTCTGTCTTGCAATTGCATCTGTTTTTTATTTTTTAAGGATGGATATAAAATTCTAATGGATGGTATAAAGCAAGCTAATTCTTTACCTGCAGGAAGAGATTGGAATTTTTATACCACTTTTAATTCATTCAAAAGTGTAATTAACAAAGAGGCGAATCAAATTATTGATAACATTGATAGTATATTGCATAAAAATGAGGCTGGAGGTACTATGCGTAATTTAAATCTAGAAGCAAAAACGGAAAGATTAATTGATGCCAACGATATTATCTTGGAACGAGTTGCAAATAGTATCGATGAGATGAATGGGATCAGAAACGTTGAGATCGATCCTGTAAAATTACAGACAGTTAGTGTAGAAGTACCTGTTAATATTAATGGTTCATGGAATAGAAACAGTAATCCTACATTCTCAGTGGGTTCATACACTACTGAAAAGGTATCTTTTATTTAGACAGATTTTTCTGAGAATCGAGTTTTACATTAGTTAAAACTTTTATTTTATAGGGTAACTACCAAGTCAAAGCTCAAACAATTCGATTACTAGCAGGAGAGAATATCATCAGGCCCCAAAAATTATTTAGAGATAAAATAGACAATAGCAATGACAACCCCTGGGAACCTAGGATAAAAGAAAAGCCGAATTCCTTGAAGCCTCTTGCAATATTTTTAGAGGAATCTGATAATGGCAGACAGTGAGTAAAAATAATTAAAAAAAATATTTAAGCCTGTAATTTACAATAAAATTTTGTTATATAGTTTTTATATATAAAAATGGGTATTTCTAAAGTAAAAACATAAATATCTGGTATACTATCGTGTACCAGCGACTTTGTTCGCGTCGAGTTAATCATTTGTAATGGTGATGATAAAGCAAAGCAAGAATTTCCATTAACATACAAACTGGATAAAATTTTCTTACATTTATGTCAGCATGAGAAAAACCAATATGGCGATATTATTATATAACTTGGTAATATTTGAGGAGTAGTTTCATCTCGTTGGAATTTTACTTTCGAAAAACCCGTATGCCAAAAATAAGCTTTTTAAGTCAAGCAGTTTAAGCAGGATCGTGGTTAAGAAATTACCCAACTTTTTGGAACACCCTGTATGATTTTTTAAAAAATTTCAAAATATGTAAAAAAATCAAATAAATTATGCTTCTCCAAGCGTTTTCCCGAAAGACTAACGGTTTTTTAAATAACTAATATTGTAATATTTGAGGGGCGTTTTCACCCTCTTGGAATTTGAGATTCGAGAAACCCTTCCTTATCGAACCTCTACACCCCACAGTCAATCCGTTTGCCAAAAATCAGCTTTAAACGTCGAGCAGTTTAAGCAGAATTGTGATTACTCAATGGTCATATTTTATGAAACACCCTGTATAAATTTATAAAAAATCTTAACATATGTAAAACAACAAAATAAAATATACGTGTTTAAGAGTTTTTCCGAAAAACTCACCGGTTTTTAAATAAAAAATATTTTAATATTTGAGGGATAGTTTCACCCCCTTAGAATTCGAGTTTCGAAAAATCCCTTCTTATCGAACCTCTACACCCTAAAGTCAACCTGTTTTCCAAAAATCAGCTTTTTACGTCAAGCGCTTTAAGTAGGATCGTGATCTCTTGATCATTTTTTTTTCTTGATCATTTCTGGGAAATTTTAAAAACCTTTTTAGTGTCATTTGTTTGAATACCAGCATAATATACTGGGTGTTCGATTTAAAATAAAGGAGTAACTTGCTTTTAAAAGTGGCCAATGTTCAGTATTAATTTTGTCTGACCCTGTATAACTTTTTGGGACAAATTTTAATTTGGTTTAACATACAATTGTTATTGTAATTAAATATCAGGCTATACAGGGTAAATTACAATTTAGGTAGCTGTTATTGAAATTTAAAATTTATTCTTTATTTTCACAAAATGTGAAATATGTCAAAATCCTTACAATTTAGACATATGCTTCTTTATTGAAATTCACCTTTATTTTTGCCTAGAATCCGAAAATCAATTAATGTGTTCCATTACAAAAAATCCAACTTTGACATTGAACATTTTTTGGTGACACGCTCTAGAACTCTATATATTTTTATAAAATGCTTTCGATTAACCTACATATTATGCTCCCAAAATTTTATTTCAATATAAACTCACGTTCTCCTTTTATACAGGGTGGTGCCACCCTGTATAAAAGGTATCGTCGCTACGGCAACATGAACTCAGTGGCGGACTAAGCCTGTCGGGGGCCCGGGGCGACGAAGCTAAATGTGGCCCCCGGTCTGTTTAGATAATGATATACTTCTAATGTACATTTTGTAAAAATTGAATGACGTATGTATAATGGTTGACAAAATTCAAGTATTTATACAGGGTGTAGCAGGCTGAGCCGGCGTTAGAAGTTTCTAGAGAACTACAATATCTAGATACGAGATTTTGTGCATATCATTGTTTCACAATGATATCTATCAATTAAAAATATTTTCAAAATGGCGGCACTTTCGGAAATACCGGAAGTTGACAGCAACTTTCATATTTTAAATGGGTGATCCCATTTTTTATTACATACTTAAATTCACTGTAAAATTTAAGAATTTTGATATTAAACACTCTACGAGCCCTAACAACTATATGTTGGAACAAGGCCTTTTTTGCAATAAAAGTAGTAATTTTTGTTAAAACGACTCAATTTATTTTGTTTATTATTCTAAATTCAAATATTACAATATGATCTAGACAATTTTACTATATTTTTATAACTTTGCAGACAAATCACTTTTGATAATAGCTTATTTTGCCAAAATCAAGCCAAATTTGCTGACAACTATATATTGGGACAACATAACAAGAAATTTGTTTAATACGGAGTTACATCACCTTTCGCCTTAACAACTGCCTGAACTCTTAATGGCATTGTATTTACCAAAGATTGGCACATTTGAGGAGAAAAATTATACCAAATTTCCTGCAATTTTGTCCGCAAATCAAAAATTGTTCGTTGAAGGTGGTTTCTTAAATATTGCTTCATCTTAAGCCACACAGTTTATATAACATTGAGGTCCGGACTACTTGCAGGATGGGATAGAACTTTTATATTATTATTCCCGAACCAATTTTTAGTTGATTTTGCTGAATGGCACGATGTTCCATCTTGTTGAAAAATATAGTCTTGGTTTGGAAACAATTCTTGAGCACTAGGCAAAAGTGAGGTCTCAAGTATATGTTGATATTTTTGGGCGTTAACAGTGCCATCTATAAAATTTAATTTGCCCAAACCTCTTGCTGACATGCAACCCTAAACCATAATCCCCTTAGGAAATTTAACAACCCTTTTTAAGCAATCTTTATGAAAGGCTTCTACTTTATTTCGTATTATTCGTTTTCGATGATCTCCAACACAAACATCAAATTTAGATTCATCGCTAAATATGACCTTATTCCAATCATTTTGTGTTCACGATAATTTAGATTTTGCCCAATTGTAACGATTTTTCTTTTGAATTTCTGTCAGTAGCGGTTTTTCTTTGGCCTAAATAAGAATTTGTATCAATAATCTTCAGGTAATTGATTATCCACACAAAATAAAGTTTACCTTGTAAAACCCCAGACCTCATTTATGGATATATTTTCGGCAACATTCTCTTGATATATAAACCAGTTACAGTATTCCATTTAACTGTTACTTCGCGAAGAGTACTTCTCGCAGACTTGCAAATTTTTACTAAATTTCGTAAATCTCTCTGAGATACAATTTTTGCCTTCCCGAACTTTTACCTCTAACGTCTACATTGGCAGATTCGTCGTATTTTTTTTATTATATTAAAGACCGTGGTTTTTGGAATACTACTTTCGAATTGTTTTTCCCGTACTGTATTGACGAATGATAATTTCGCGTAGTTTTTGATTTGTAGCTTTTCCACGGATCATTACATTGAATTAAATAATTAACAAAATTGAAAATTAAAAAAATTCAAATTACTTACAGTAAATCTCACTACTCAAAGTATCGAGTCACTTACAAGCTGTCAATGCTGAAGTAAACACTTTGCGACATTTATGACGGTTATAGCAAAGCCGCCTATGATGATATTAATTATTTAAAAATACTTGTTCCAACATTTAGTTGTCAGCAAATTTGTCCTTTTATGAACAAAATCCGCTACTGTAAATATGGATTGATTACAAATTCATAAAAATATTGTCAAGTTGTTTAGGATATATGGCTATTTTTATATTTAAAAAATTAAACATATATTTTTCAGTCATTTTGAAAAACCAGGGCAATAATTCCAAAATATGACCTTGTCCCAACATATAGTTGTTAGGGCTCGTATACCTAAAGGTAACCGTTTTTGAGAGAAAAAAAATTATAATTTTTGGAGGAAAAAAACTGCCTGTCAAAAATATGTATATAGCCTAAATGTCAAATTTAGTGATTGCCACAGCCACTGTACCATAAAGAGAAGACATGTGGCTATCTATGTCAAAAATTAAATTGTCCGAATGTCATATAATGGCCGCAACTGTCATGGAATTGAGCGATTAAAAAATTAACATAAAACATTTTTTTTCAAATGAAAATCCACTTTTTTTATTTCACTCGTGAAAAGGCTTTTGGGCGATTCCATGATTACTAACGGGACAAACTGAACGAAAAATAGAATGTTTTCGAAAAATATTTATAACTTATATCGTTCATACAACAATGACCTTATAATATTTGTTAGCAATGATTTTAAGTAATAATTTGCCAAAAAAATATTACTTGAATATTTATTAGCTTGGCGGAAATATTACAAAAAAATGTGTTTACTAACGGGACAAAAAAAACTTCAGACATTTTTTCAAATAATTCAGAGAGACAGACCTGTGAATTTGAACGCCTTACACAAAATGTAAAAATATAGGATAGTAAAGGTCCCATCTAAAAATATTTAAGCATATTACTCTCATTTACTTATCAGGTGTATAGGTTCTTGGTGGTAATTTATATTTACTAACGGGACATTACTAACGGGACGGTTTTTTCCAACAGGATATATTATTATTTTTAAAACAATAAGTTCAAAAATTACCTAATTTAACGCGACCAAATAATATCGACATATATGAAAAACTGTCAAAACCTAATCCTTAACCTAAAAGCACTTGAAAATTGTATTTTTTTCTGATTCTCGGTATTTTTTAATCAATATATGGTGCTGATCAACGGATCTGAAATAATGTGAGCTTGCTATCCCTGGCAATGGTTTTCCGCAAGGCCATTTTCCGTCCAAAAAAGGCTTAACTTCGTTGATTTCATCCTCTGTCACATATATACATCTTATGTTTTCCAACTGTTTGGCGCACTCGAAGAATTCTTTAGCAGAATTAACTATAACCTTCCTGCTTTTAACATCATTCCAGACCTAAAATATTATTTTGTTGATCTTAGTAAAAAGTAGACAGATTATTACACATTGGCATCGGAAAAAAACCTCGACGGTCTCTAGACTTTAAATTAGCTACATAATATAGGTTCTCGACGAGAACACCGACCATGAAGCTCTATAGATCTATTTATGTATCTAATTGTAGGCCCTACCTTTCTCTTAACATTTGCACCGACTCCATCCACTGCACCCTTTCCGTGAGATGTTGCGAAAAAACTCCATGTAATTTCAGGTATGTCCAATTCTTCAGGCAGAAAACATAACGTGGATAAAGTGTATCGATTCTTGAATTGTCCCGCACAGCCGTCACTGAATATAACCAAGCTTTTTAAAACATGTTTTTGGCCAATCCAAGAAACAATATTTTTTATGAAGACGAATACGGAATATTTATCGTGGCTTAAATAGTTGCTGATTATTGTGAATGAGTACACTTGCTTGTCAGATAGCCAGGCCACCCCGGTAAAGACGGTAACTTGTTCATGATGCCAATGTGCACTTTGAATTTCATCCTGTGCAGTCAGGGCAAAATTTTCCGCAAAATCGATTTGCAAAATAACCTCATCTTCAGGGATATTAACTCTCTTAAGATCAAAAAATGTTTGTTGTACATTTTTGATAAAATGGTGTCTTCTAAACGCTGGTAATTGATTTTCCAGCATCATAATTGTGGAATTTAGTGTTTCACATTGAATTACAAGCTTTGTTTGGCCCTCAATAGTAATCCACTGTTTAACTGATACAGAACTTTCTCCATCAAATACCAGTGGTAAACAGGAAAAGGTTAAATCAATTTCCTTACATTTACTGCATTTGTTCAACATGCACAATCCCTGTGTACAATTCCAGGATATTTCAGAAATCAAACTTTTGTGGTCTTTAGGAAAAGTTGTGATGTTTTTCTGAAGAACTTCCAAAATGTAAAAAACGTTTGCGTGATATTTGCACACACAAACATTATGTGGCATTGCGCTGCTAAGCAGGATGCATGATGGTCTGACCTCATAAAATTTACTTAGTTTTATTTTAGTATTTGGATTCTCTTCTGTAAAAATCTGGAAGGCTTCTTTTATAGTAAGATACATGTATCTTTTTGGAACGTATTCGACATGATCGCCTCTTTTTATTTTCACCCGGTCTTTCATTCCAGGAGACACCCTGCTAATATCCTCTCGTAAATAAAATTTTTGAATTTTTTCAATTGTCTCCTGTGATAATTTGCGTTTGTTATCAATTGACGGACTGGTAAACTTGTAATATTTTGCATTTTTAAATTTGGTTCAATTTTTTCCAGAATTTTTCTTAAAACGGCCACTTTCTTATTTTTATCTAAAGGAAGTGATTTATTTGCCGCTCTTACAGCTTTTCCAAGGCTTTGAGCCGTTTTATAGGGTAATATGTTTTCTTTGTTCTGTAAAATCCGTTCTCATTTTCTTTCCCTATAGCGCCTCTTTCTTTCTTTTTCTTTAATGTTCAGTTCCACTTTCAATGCGATATTATTTTTGGTCAAATCTTTTAGTTTTCCCTGTATTTTTTCTGATTTTTAGCACAATTTTTCAAATAATTTTGTTTTAAATTTTCATTTTCATAAATCTTTTTTCTGTAATTCGAAACACAGGCTTTGATTTTTTGTTTGCGTTCGAAACTAGTTTTTCCCATCCTAAAATATAATTTTTGTTTACTAACGGGTCAAAAATTAATTCAAAAAAACAACAAAGCTAGAACCTTTAAAAAAGAAACAGTTAAAACATTAGAATTTGTTCACACAAAACTTATATTTTTTATCTTATGAAAAAATCTCTTGGCTTGATGTATCGCTATATATCAATTTATTGTATATTTTGTTTACTAACGGGACTTAAAATTTAGATATAGTTATAATATTTTATCACAAAATATACTTACTTGGAAAGAGTAACAACACAATAATTCTATCACTCAAACAGAAGCGCAAACAAAACTGACAGCGTTAGCGCATTGCTCAGCTTTTTTATACATAGCCACCTTGATAAAACAAAGCGATATTCTGGAATTTCACTTTGAAAACCAAAACTAATTTGTTCTGACTATTTTCAAGGAGCACTAGATTAGAAAGTTAAGTTATTCTAGTTTTGTTTTGTACTATAGACATTATACTACAAATAAAAGTACAAATATTTTAAAAAATGTCTCATTTTAAAATTAACAAAAATATGTATTGTTTGTGGAATCGCCCTTTTGTTACTTTCGTTTTTAAAACTTGTTACTTTTTGACTATACATGTTCCTGTACCTAAAATAAATCGTTTAAGTTATTTAAGATTTAGCTTTAGAGCGTATATTTTTCTTGATTTTAACCAGTAGCCTATGACAGTATATTGTCGATCATTATTTCCAAGCTAACTTTGCGCTGTTTTTTTTTTTGATCGTACGGTATATTATTAAAATATCAACTAGATCACTAAAGAACAAAAATACGGAGATATATTTATATAAATACACTTTTTAAACTTTTAATCAGCAGATGGAAATAAATTGTCTGACTGTTTGACACTTAATGTCAAAGGAAGCTAGATAAAATCAAGAAAAATATACGTTTTCAAACTAAATCTTAAATAATTTAAAAACGATTTATTTTAGGTATAGGAATATGTCTAGTTAAAACGTAACGAATTGGAAAACATTTTCACTAGTGAAATAAAAAAGTGGGTTTCTATTTGAAAAAAAAATATTTATGATAATTTTTCAATGGCTCAATTCCATGACAGCTACCGCCATTATTATATGACATTTGAACAATTTAATTTTTGAAATCGATAGCCACATGTCTTTTCTTTATGTCACAGGGGCTGTGATAATCACTAAATTTGACTTTTAGGCTCTACAAATTTTTTTGACAGGTCGTTTTTTTCGTCCAAAAATTTTAACAATTTTTTTCGTAAAAATGCTTGCAGGGAAATACCGCGACAAAATATCGCGATTTTGTAAGTCCTCCAAGATCCGAGGGGCCCCTTCGCTGTCTCAGGCCCGTGACCCCCGTTATACTACTTCACTGCTCATCATCAGTAATGAAGCTAGAATACAAGTTATGCTGTGCATTGGTTTAGTTTGGCTTTATTGGCCTAAATAGAAAATGCCATTGACAATTACTGGGGCCTCATAATTGATAATTAAGTAAATATCTGCTTCCATTTATACTGTTTATAGTTGGCGTATACGTATATATATATATGTATATGGTTTGCATACTCCACCTACAAAGTGCTTTATAACTACTGAACACATATTGGCCTTGTTTGCCAGTTAAATAAAAAATTACTTATTAAGATTCAGAGGCTCCCTAAAAGAGGGGGCACGGAGCGGACCGCCCCTTCCACCCCCTAGACCACCACTGCATGAACTGCCCCACTATGTTTTTACGTTTTTACCTTAAGAGGAAAAATATCTTTATATAATTTATATTATCATAATTAATATTTATATTTTAGGTTTTCTCATCCATATTTATACGAACTGGAAAGATTTAACTTGCCCGAAAATTTGTTAACTAAGGGCTCTATAGTTCGTCCCAAGTTGATAAGCGATACACCCCTTATAGAAATAAATAATCCTGAACAACTACCATCCTTAGTAGAAGATTTACATAAATATGATACAATTGCAGTCGATTTAGAACATCATTCATATAGGACATTTATGGGCATAACTTGTTTAATGCAGATTTCCACGTATGATACTGATTATTTAATAGACACTTTAGCATTAAGAAGCGATCTTTACATTTTAAATGAAGTATTCACTAAACCAAATATTCTTAAGGTATGAATTTTTTATGTGAGTGTGAAAAAAATCAGCATTTTATGAATAATGAATGCATCTGAAAATAAAATGTCTTAAGCAAAACAAAGGTTTTTGTTAGAATGTAGTTCAAGAATTGAAATTATGTGTAATATATTTTTTTAATTTTCGTTCTTCATTAAATACTGATTTTATAGTTACTAATGACATATTTATGAGTATTAAGTAGTAAATTTGTTGATGTTATATACTGCAATCCGTCGTTTCCTGAAGTGCCTAGTTGTTTCACGTATTGCCGGCAACACTGTCTTAAAAAATGTATTTTAAGTTAACGCCTCCTTTTTGCTGCTTAGGCTAATCTGGACGGGGCCTACTTTGATTACGCAGAATCCGAACCGCGGTCCTCGCCCACATCATTGTCAATGGCCTACCGACTTGGCGAGTGTCTAAATCGACTGTTAATCACGAGATATGCGATCCCATCCGGCTTCGACCCGGCGCACAGTGGTTTGTTTTGGTAAACTAGATGGAAGTTACTATTATATTAACAAATAATTTTTTAATTGATGTTCAGAACAAAATACATATAGAAAACAATACATACACAGTGTGTATGCTTAAACTCTCTATATATGGGAAACTTTTTATTACTGATTTTACAGAAAATTGTATTCTTAATAAAACTTACTGCATTAAGCAGTACCAATTTTGGCAGTATCGATTTTTAGGTCAAATATACAGTGTACAGGGTGTTTAAAAATAATAATATGAAGGTTTGACACTTTACAAATCTCATAAATTTTATATTTTTTAGGATAAGTGAATGTATACAAAAATAAATATTAAATTATAATTCCAGGTGATTCGTAACTTTGACAGTCTAATAAGTTTGGGAATACCTATAATTTTAGTGAAAAAAATGCAGAAAGTTTGAGAACATGCGGTTACCCTAATTTTTAATATATTCAATAATAAATATTTTTAAAATAAAAGGCACACCTTCTACTAAATCATCCACGTCAGCTGCGGTAGCTAAACACCACACGTATTAATAGAATAATATTATTACATAAGTATCAAAACTGAACTCATATGAGTTATCCGAGTCCGTTTCAACAAGTCTGTTTTTATTTATAATCCTCTCGTCCCCGCTATGTTTATCCTTGTTAGAACTATATTTTTATTACACTTGGTTATATAATCCTTTAGGCAATGCTAACAGTCGCATTCATAGTCGATCGCCAGCCGCCCGCTGGCCGGAGCTTTCCCGAAATTCTTCGTTTTTATTTCAGAGTCGAGCGCTCTCCGAGTAACGCGTGCGCACATCCGTCATATAGAGTAACCGCTCTCTCGCCGGCGGGCGGTTGGATAAACTTTTTTTTTCCGTTTCATAGTCGATCTCCAGGCGAAGAACACTTGCGCAGTTTAAACCCCATCCGGTGATTTTCGGTCGGCGACTGGAGCATGTCCTTACCATCTCCAGGCGGCTCGCCAGTTTAGTTTGGTTTATTTCTCTAGTTGAAAGAAGCACCAAGCAAACTGAATTAATTATGGATATTTATAATATCGTGACGATTAAATGTACAATTAAATGCAGAAATTGACGGGAACGATGACATTCGTATTTTTGAGGCCATTATTCATTACATTTGAGGCATATGAATTCCGTCCGTCTATTTGACCATTTAAATGTTTTATTGTTTTGTTTTTGTTATGTTTATAACTTTTTATTTTTCCTATGGTTTTTACATTTATTACATTAATTCTCTTTGTAATTTACACAAACTGGAAAAAATATACCAAATTCACAAAACAAAAATATAGCCAATTTAAAAATATAAATTACTTCTACACTGGTCATATTTTTCCTTAAGATAATTTTAAAATCCTTAACACAGCACCAATAGGTTAAGGTTAAGGTCTATAAAAATTTATAAACATAATAAAAACGAATTCATAAAACTTTCAAATAACCGAACAGACCTACGGAATTCCCCATTATATAAATTATTAACTTAATATCCTTTTTATTATGACCCAAAAATACACCTAGCCAAAAAAATATGTATATAAAAAATTGTAAATCTTTTTACTATAAGTGAAGGATTACGAAGATATTATTCATTACTTTAAAACCAATTATAACAAAATAATGGACACATCAATAAAATATTTAAATTACCCAATATCAATAAAATATTTAAATTATTAATATTTAAATATTTAGAGAATGTTAAAGTTCGTATAACCGATTTCGTGTAGAAAAAGGAAGAAAACATGTTCCCTGTTGTTAAAACCCTCCACCCGAAGTGAAATTTTGTCGGCGACGCGCCGTCATTTTAGCCAGCCAGCGGTGCGCTGGCGGCCGACTATGAAAGAGCTTTTTTTTCTCTCCCGATATCGAAGCGCTCGCCGGAGAAATCTCCGGCGAGCGCTTCTTTTCGGCGGGCGGCTGGCGCTCGAGTATGAATACGGCCGTAAGAGTATTTCGGGGATTAAGGGATACCTGTTTTCGCGATAACTTCTAGCTAATTTTTTGAAAAAAAACCACTATGCGACGTGAATAAGCAATGTGTGTCAATAGATTTTACACTATTGCCATGGAACAACAGCACGATCACACGTCCATCTGATCGCATGGTCTAACGTCACTTAACTTCGGTGATCTATCGGGAACATGATACGACGTAACTGGGCCGTTGTCCCACTGTCTTAAATTCAATGACAATCTCAACAGGACAACTTAAATAATTTAGTTAATTACGATGGTTCACTGAAATATATACACAACCAAACTATCTATCTATTATTTTTCATAATTTTTGAGATGTATGAAAATTGTCTGTTTGTGTTGTCTGTTTTTTATGAATAAAACTCAGTCCTTACCAATGACTTTTAATGAAAAATAATCCATATAGCAATTAAAAAAAATTAATCAGTTCCCAAAATAAACATTTGGTTTCTGAAACGAAATTACGATTTAAATTTTTAATGGCCAAAAAGCATAAACAAAAAGAAAATTGATAATTTTAATATTCCTTGTTGCCACCTCTAGCCCTTATGCAAGCTTTTATCCGCGCTGGCATGCTTCTTATTAAATTATCCACGTTGTCTTGGGGTATGTTTTCCCATTCTGCTAATGCTGCATCTATAAGCTGTACGAGATTTTCTGGATTGTTTCGACGAGCTCTAACCCTTCTTTTAAGCTAGTCCCACAAGTGTTCGATAGGGTTTAGATCTGGTAAATGGGCAGGCCAGTCCAAAACTATGACACCTTCCGTTTCAAGACATTCGCTAGTCACTCTTCTGGTATGGGGAGGTGCACTATCGTGCATGAAGTTAAAATTATCCCCAATTGCAGCTCTCCAAAGACTAAGGATTGGTTCTAGCACCAAATCAACATATCTCCGACCCGTTAAAATTTGTTGAAGTGGTAACAATGGAGTCTTTGCTAGTATAATACGTCCCCAGAACATTACAGTTCCTCCTTTATATCTTGGTACAGATTTGGCAGCATGAAGTCTCGCTCGTCTTCCTGGAGCTCTGAGAACCCGAATTCGATGGTTATCTAATCTTAGGCCAATTCTGGTCTCATCTGAAAAAGGAACATTTTGCCAATTCTCAGTTGTCCAGTTTTGATGCTGAAGGCATCAATTTAGCCGGTCAATTTTATTTTGCCGAGATAACTGTGAGATCCGTAACTCCTTGCTACTGTAAAACCCTCGTGCACGAAGCCTTTTTTTATGGTTTCAACTGAAACGTTCACACTTGTAGCTGCCAGAAGTTGTCTTTGTAGCTCTGGATGAGAAACATTGGGATTTATTCTAGCAATTTAGCACACAAGACGGTCTTGTTGTGACTCTTTGGCGACTTTGTCTGGGCCTATCCTTGTGTGTTCCTAAATCCAAGTACCTTGCATATGTTTTCGATACAACACCCTGGGTAACGTCTACTATCTCTGCTACGTCTCTTTGGAGCATTCCTTCTCCGGCGAGAGCAATAATTCTTCCCCTCTATACATCTGTTAATTCAACATAAGGCATTTTTAATTTTTTTGGATTGAATGAAAATTACCGGACAATCGTAATTTTACTACTGAATACAAAATTCAAAAAAAAACGCAGCAGTCGTTTATTCTTTATTATCATGTTTATTTACAGCAAAAAGCCTTATCTTAAAGTTGTATACCAATTTTTATCCTTGCAAGAAATTTAGTCAGAAGTAAAGAGTGATTCCACATAAGTTTGGTTGTGTATATACCGTCATTACAGGGAACAACTGAGATCTACAGTCAAACGATGTACCACCAATTAAAGAGTTACGTTGTTTGTAGGCAATACCTGAATCGTTGCCTGAATTGACTAGGCATTTCAGGAAATGACAAATTTCTCTGTTTGACGCTGACATATTAATAATTTTTATTTCAGATTTTCCACGGTGCTCATTCAGATATATTATGGTTACAAAGGGACTTATCACTTTATGTTGTTAATATGTTTGATACGTACTTTGCGGCAAAACAATTAGGATACTCGTCCCTATCCCTAGCCAGTTTAATGCAAAGGTTTTGTAACTTTGTTCCCAACAAACAATTCCAATTGGCGGATTGGAGAATCAGGCCGTTACCGCAGGAACTAAAAAACTATGCTAGAGAAGATACACATTACTTAGCCTTCATCTATCACAACATGAAGAATGAACTGATAGCCAAAGCAAACGGAAACAAGAATTTGATTCAAGCTGTTTTCCAGGAAAGCACGGAATTATGTAAAAAGGTAGAATTTATTCCTAAAATTATTAAAAGGTCTCAACTAGCGATGTCATGTTCTAGTGTTGAAAGTGTATTTTTATTATTAAATACTTTTGGTGCCGATTTTTTTTTTAATTATTGACTTTAATCATTATTGTTAAAATCTGATATTGGAACTGATATTTAATTATTTATACATGATAAAAAATCTTTGGCTCCTTTACCTAAATGGTTTCACTATTATAGATTATATTTTAAAAATCCTATATGGGTATTTCGCCACTGCAAGAAAATCTACAAAATAAAATAGTTATTTTTTGTAAACACTGATGCATTAATCCAACGGAAACTACTTGTCAGCAGCTAGGTTTACAGTTAAACAAATTTGCCTAACGAACAAACAAATGCTTAACGTTTCAGAAAGTTTATCTCTTTCCGTCGTCGGAAGCAAAAAAAATACAAAGAATAAAGAAAAAAACAATTTAAAATTTATTATTAAATTAAATTAAATTCAACTATCCGAGAACACTTTAGTTTTTTAAAACAGATACGTCTACAAAAACCGTTGACGTTCTGTTAAAATGACATTATATCAAGTTAAACTTCAAAATTAACAATTACTACCTGATAACAATTTCTTAATACAGTAAAAGCAAAAAGCCCCAAACTTTCTGTATGATTACTATTAATTTTTACATATGTTATGTTTATTTATGTTATGTTCTTTAAAATCAAAGAAACACTAACATCTACAGATGCATGAGCAATACATTTATTTTTATTAGATTGTATTAAAAAAGCCTCTTTTATTTTTCTTTTAGAGGCTATCGCTTCTTTCATTATAATTTTGGCGTTATTAAAATTTATGCCCTGTGTCCCATGCATGCTGACAAACCTTAGATTTGTGAAAATCTCCCTTTCTAAATAATTTTTATGTTGTAGACCCTTAAATTTGAACATTTAAGGGTCTAGATGTTTTACCAATGTAAAAATTATTGCATTCACATGGTATTTTGTATATTACATTTTTTGTTTGTTCTGTATTCAATGTATTCATTGGTTTAGTGTGTGATAAAATGGATTTAATTGTATTTTGTGTTTTGAAAGATGTTCGTATGTTATATTGTTTTCCTATCCTTCTTTTTTTTTCTGAAACGCCTCGTATGTATGGAATTGTAAGTTGTATATATTGTGTATTGTTATCATTGTGTCTATGATTTGGGGTTTGTATTTCGTTTAATGTTTTGTCAGTAAAGTATGGTGGATAGTCATTTTTTATTAACGTATTTTTTATGTGGTTTATATCTCTGTTTAGTGAAATATCGTCTGAACATATTATTTTTGCCCTATCATATAAACTTTTTATAACACCTTTTTTACACTTATACTGTGATTAGATGTGAAATTTAAGTATCTATCTGTATTTGTATATATATATATTCTTTGTATTTTTTTTGCTTCCGACGACGGAAAGAGATAAATTTTCCGAAACGTTAAGCATTTTTTTGTTCGTTAGGCAAATTTGTTTACCTGTAAAACTGCTGATAAGTAGTTTCCGTTGGATTAACGCGGCAGTGTTTACAAAAAAGAACTATTTTATTTTGTAGATTTTCTTGCAGTGGCCAAGTACCCATATATGATTTTTTGGAGAGATGAATCCGCCACATAGGTATAGACATTTTTTATTATATTTTAAAATAATATATGTATAGATATTGATATTATAATAGCGAATCTGCTTTTAGAGATATTTTAAACCAATTTGGCATGAGGAAATCCACCTTGAATTTTATAGAAGATGTAATAGAATGTTTGACAATCGTCAAATGTTTGCTTTGAAAGAACTTTATAAATGGAGAGATAACATTTCAAGGCAGGAGGATGAAAGCACTGGGTGAGTAGATTTTAATAGTTTTTATGGGTCTGGTCCACTTTAGATACGTCAAAATTTCAAAATCTTCTATACAGAATTGAGAAGAGGAACACTTATAATGACATTTTCTTAGAAGAAGTGCTAGCGCCTTGCTAAATATTGGAAAGTGACGTTTAAATTTGACACTGTTGACAAGTCTACTGCTACTAGCGCCCCCAATATCGCTTGTAGGAACTACGGACTAGATTGTCACGTATGGCGGGATGTTTAAAAAAATAAAAAAAAATAATTCTTTATTTATTTTTAATTATGACATACATAAAAACCAACATAAAAACACAAAAAAATACACCATTTTTTTAAAAATATGTTTAATATCAATATCAAATATACAACAGAAATTAATTTCACCACAATAAATTAATAAAATTAAAAGAATAATGTGACAAGTCTCCTTTCAACGCACGCTTTAGAAAGAAAAAGAGATGAACTTAATTACTGAAAGAACGTCAAGGTTTTATCTGTCACTCTTGTCAATAATTTATCGGTATGGAAGATTCCTAGAAAATCGCTTGTAGCCATCTTGTAGCCAAGTTTTGAACCATTGCCAGTTCTCCCATAAGAAGTGTCATCCACCTGTTATAAATAAAACAAAATTCGGATTTTCAATATCTCATTGTTACCGCCAGCGATATACGCAGACGCGAACAAAAGACAAATAAACCTAAATCTGGGTCTTCCTTGTCACTCTTATTAAACTTAATAAGGAAAGCTAAATTCTAACCTCAAAAAATAAATAATTTTATTGCAGAAATCTCAAACATTTAGCCGAGTATCCGTACTTAAAACAGCTTTGTTCGGGTTCTTGTTATTACCGATTCTGAACCGTCCTAGAACTCTGCAGCGCATGCGCAAATGAAATAATGTCTTCATATTTCCTTCTGCGCATACGCATCAAAGTTCTAGGACGGTTCAGAATCGATAATAAGAGAAACCCAAATACGTTTAAAATAAAGTATACGGAGGGTACCGCTTAAATTCCTGTCCCGATATTTAAGGATGACTATAGAATTTCAATGCATTTCCTACATAAGTCTATCCTTGTGTTGTAGGAGGTTTGACTAAACAAGGATGAACCTATGTCGTGAAACCATTTGACTCGATTTTCTGTCCTCCTTCAATACTGGGACGTAAATCCTCTCATTGCTCTTATGGGGAGGCCGTCGTATATTTTATTTAAACGTATTAGGGGAAACCCGAAGTAAGCTAACGTTAAAACATTAATTGGAGAATATATTAATATCAAATTTACATCAATAACTTCAAGATTGACGACGTACATAAAGTGGACCATCACCGTTTTTATTAGTTGCTTCAAATGTGATTGTTTGAACCATACAAATTAGAGAATTTATTTTTCTAAAGCAGACCTATCAAATGTACAGGGAGTTCCAATATTCCGTGGACAAAGAAACACTACGTATTTTTTGGAACAAATAAATAATAAATAAACTAATTGCGCATAATTTATCTTTATACAAAAGTGCTTTGTATGTCCGTTAGAGGGCATTAATCAAAAATAAACCCGACCGTAATTTTTTTAAGCTTTTCATGAAGATTATTGTCAAATATAATTTGCGATACTAACAAAAAATTTCATATTTTCGCCAAGTAGATTATTAGAGCATAATAGATTTTATGCGTCTCCATAGCTTGATGTGACAAAAACATTTTTTGGAAGTCAGCTTTGGAAAAATGTTTTTTCCTCAAAAACTATGAACGGTGGCGTTTTTTTGCAAGAGACAAAAAGTGTAGTAAATACTAGAAGGACCATTTTACGAAAAGAAAATCGGCTGTCGGTGGAGGTGGAAAATATTTATACTAAAATTTATGTAGGGGTGGGGGTAGTTCCCTTCCCGTACATATTCTTGATTTTTGTGAAAGTTAAATGTTAGAGCACTTAGCAAAACATAGACACACAAAATCTGATTCAAATCGGATTAACAGTTCGCAAAATTACATTATGTATTTAAAATTGCATTTTAAAAAATGGTTCTATTTATTGTAATTGAGAATACGGGGAATCGAGATAACTAAACACCCCGACTGATTGATCCAAAGATATATTAAATATATAGATATACTTACAATAAGTAATTTTAATATAATTTCTAGGTATGTGTTACCCAATAATATGTTACTAGAAATAGCAGAGAGGTTGCCAAGAGAAATGCAAGGCATTTTGGCTTGTTGTAGGCCTGTTCCTCCACTTGTTCGCGCCAATTTACTTGACCTTCATAAAATTATATTAAAAGCCTTAGAAAAACCTTTTGAAGAGGTACAAATGAATATTTTATTTAATAATATAATTACTACCTTTATATTTAAATATTGTTTTAGCCTATTTTAAAAGAAGATACGCGTGCAAGAGGAACGACCAAGAAAGTTTCTAAAATTAATGTCGACAGCCCTTTGTACTGTCCTCATGACTTATCAAAATCTGAAGAATTTCGTGATGATCTACCAACAATGTTAGGAGATGTAAATAATAAAAAATTAGAAATTCAAAATGATGGGTATGAAAATATTGAACGGTCAGAGTCAGTCTGTAGCGTTTTTAATAACAGTCTTAAAACTCAAGTAAAAAAAGATGTTTTTAATCTTTTAGAACAACGTGTAAGGTCGTTTTTTTAGGAAAGAAGTACGTGTACAAAATTACTTAGATTTCGCGAAAACTTCAAGTTTTTAAGTCCTTTTGATCGATACCAGCTTGTTAAACCATTTATAGAAGCCAGAGAGAAAAAAGTTACTGAAGAGAAAGAAAAGGAAACAGAAGAAAAAGTTCCAAACCACTTAGAAACAGAGGTATTGGTTCCTTTAGAGAAGAATGTCGAACGTACAGATGAGGAGAGAATTGAATCTGTGAGTAGACTTTTTGTTTTTCCTTTTGACCATGAAAATTTAACTGTTATGGTGGGTTCATGCTTCCGATCTTAACCTTACAGTAATATTAGCTTTATTTCTAACAGGTCCAAAGAAATATAGGATATTTTATATTCTTAGGGCTAATGCTACTTCAAAATTGATTTGCGCATGCTCAAAACTAGGTGTATTAAGAATTCGAAATAATATTTTATTTGACATATATTTCATATCAAAAAAAACTTTTGGTTACGTAATCGAGGGCGCGATTTTTAAATTCATTGTTGCCAACCATGGACATATTCGGCGCCGTGCTGACTAACTGGAATTTAAATTTCGCGCTGGGGATTTAGGTGGTAGCTCTGCTGTAAAAAATGCCAAGTTGCCGCATTTATTTATTTATTTCCTGACATTGCCATTCGTTTTGACACTTTAGTTTTGTATTAAACTTAAATCTGTATTTTTTTCAGATAAGGTCACATTATATGAATCTAGCTCGAGATTCAAATTCCAAAAAAGCAAAAGTGCAATCGCTGCTTGAAATGGGCGGTAGTAAAAAAAGGAAACGTGAAGAATTTATGTCAGGTGTCACTTATTCCCCATCTCAGTCGCAGGCCACTTCTTATCAAAGCCCTATACCAAATCTCAATACAAGCAGATTGATTCCTATTAATGTAGAACATAATAACGAACCAAATAGAAAACAACAGAAACTAAACAATGAACAGAAGAATTTGAATCAAAAAAAGAAGAAAAAGAATCGAGCAAAGTATTAAAAACCATTTATTTTTATTCCATATAATTGTTTAATTAATTTTAAATATTTTTTAGGAATAATATAGACGTAAGAGAGGCTCTTCTTTCAGGTGCCGACATAGGTAAGATATTTGTAAATTGGAATGTTTATACAGGGTGTATCAGAAATAAGTGCAAGTATTTTAACTTGGTAGTATATTTCGACCTTATAAACACGCCTACGAGTTTTTTTTGCGGAAAAAAATTGTTGAAAATTTAATTTTTTCATTGACATTTTCAGGGAAATTTGAAAAAACTTTTTAGTGCCACTTGTTTATTCACCTGATATTTCTCTGTGGAGTATCTAAACCTTGCAGTGTTTCACATTCTACATAGTTCTATATTTATAAATTTGACAGACAAATTTCTACCCAAAAATTAGGAATGTTAAATTTAATCTTTTATCAGTGCTCATTATTAATAATTCTAGAAAAAAAACTCATTAATTATTTTTAGTACTTACGCTTTCAATGAAAACTTAAGAAAAACCACCAAAAACATTACGTTTATAACGTTTACGAAAATCTTTGTTATGCTGCAGAGTAACTTTATTTTGGAATAAATTTAATAAAATGATTCATCATATTATTCACAATCAGGTCACAAAAAAGAAATTCCTAAAATGTTTGTCGCAATTCAGAATTCAATATATCGAAAACAGCCCAACGAATAATCGATTCATTTTTGTTTTGTTTGTTTCCTTTCATGTTTCTCCGTTTTATTTTTGAAATTTAATAAGAATTTGATTGCTTCGAGTGTCTTGAATTTGAAATTGTTGATACAATGGCAACCTCGCTTAATCGTTGCATGACGCAAACTCGGCACTTTCTCACTTTTTTCTCAAAGAACAAAGGAGCAGTTACTAGTTGACACGCGACACTTTTGGTGAACGTTTGGCTGTCGATGGCATTGTCGAAATACATCGAGAAGGTATGGCAGACTTTGAAAAGAAGCTATTTAAAAACAAGGGTAGTTTAATATCAAAAATAAATAATTGGGCAAGATATGTAGATGACATTTTTTGTATTTGGTCAGGCACCGAGAGAAATTTAAACAGTTTTTTAACATTATTAAATTCAATTAACCCGAGAATACAATTTACTATTGAAAACGGTATTAATACCATCAATTTTCTTGACATTACAATTATAAAACAGTCTAATAGATTACAATTTGATATTTACAGAAAACCCACTACCACAGATACTGTAATACATAGTCAATCACACCAATCCTGGCAAATCAAAATGTCACCCTTTCATAGATTAGTAATGTTTCCACTGAGCCCAGAGAATTTTAAAAAAGAGTTAAATATTACCCTTGATTATGTATAAATAGATGTACAATGAGGGCTTAGTACAAGCCCGTCTTCTAGGTGGCGCCTTGCCCGTTCTGAATTTTTGTATTCCCCTACGATTTTCTTTGAGGGGAATCCGTTAAACCCGCCCATCGTTCAAAAATGGAAGGGCGCGAGGTCACATCTATTGGGCCACTTATTAGCACGTTTCACCCATGTTTTACGAAAATAGCTTTATCCTTGTTTGTTTCAACTGTGACAAGAAAAAAGGAAAAAAGTTATATTCGCTTCTAAATTCGGCAGTTTTGTTGATCTTTCTCGACTTGTAATTTCGTTTCGTTTAGGTTATGTCTTATAAAAATAAATATTTATAAGCTTTTGAATTGAAATATACCTTAATGCATATCTGAGTAATTAAAAATTCAGTTTTTTCGTCCCTCGCGAAGAAACATAAACAGTATTTGTGAAATTTGGATTAGAAACTATTATTTTATTAGTTTATTTTGTTGTGTTTAAGTGTTGTGTATTTGTACCTACTGGATAATATTTTCCAACATATTTAATTAAGCAAAAAGCATCTGTTTTACAGGTAAGTAAATACTGTTCATATTTATTTCTAAATTCATATAAATTTGTTTTAAATCACTCTTGGGAAAAATGTTATAGAGTCTGAGATAAGTTTAATAATAAACATTTGATAGATTGATAGATAGATTAAACGATAATGCCCAGTTTGCTTAAAAGTTAAAAAATACTGATTTTATGCTATAAATTGTTTCATTTCTCACTTTGCTTTTTTGGAATTGTCAGATATATTGTGTATTTTATAATTTTTCCGAGAATTTTCTTAATAACTTGATAACGTAAAATATTTTTATCTACAGTCAACCCTGTGTTTAGATAAAGCTTCATATCAGATTTCCTATTTTATATTTTCACTCAAATCATATTTTTTTGTAAAATATGCTTGCAAAAGTAGCGTAAATTTGACAGGGAGGTATTTTTATAGATATACAGGATGATTCAAATATATATTTACTTTTAAAGTTATTAGTTATGAGCAAAGGTTATGAGTTTGTGAAAAGAAAGGCTATATTTTGTATTTTTGCTTGGTGGATTTGTTATTAAATTGTCATTCCAAAAAATACCATAATGTCGTAGTCGTATAGAGTTCATTTTGACCAAAGAATATATTTTGACCCTTTTTGGATTGAATTTTATTGTTTATATAATAAAATATATATTTAAAGCCCTCTCTTTCTAAGTTAAGTTAAAAATAGGTAATATCGACGTTTTTTACTGGAACTAATTTAAGTTAATAATTAATAATTATATAATTCATATAATAATATTAAAATAGACTAAATTGTTTATTATATACAGGATGAGTCAAAACTAGATATTATATTTTTCTTTGCTATTTCAAATGAAACACTGTATTTTATATCATAAATCAACAAAGCTTTTTATGCAACTTTTGTTTTATTAAGATCTATATCCCAAATTAATAGTTATTAAATTGTTTTCAATTGTCTCTTTGCGAATAAACATGATTTGTTTTACGCAATTTTTATTAGTAGATTTGTCGTCAAAAGTGATGTATCTATTTATCAGCGACAAAAATTAAGAATTAGATGTCTAAAATAATTTCCTAATTATTTTTTTACTTGGCATCAGTAAATATGATTTATTTTATCGATGCAGCTGAAAATAATTATCTATTCTAAAAGAGGACATTGCTGTATAAACATCGATTATGGATTTAAAAATTATTTTTCAAAACAAAGTTGGACAAAAATTGGACTTCTGTTCGAAATAATTGAGAAAAACCCAACATCTAGTTTTGACGCCCCCAGTATATATCGTGCATTATAGTTGATTATACTGCAATTTATTATACACACGTAGTTTTGTTTGGTGAAAATGAAACTTTCTAAAAGTATTCCCAATTAAAACATATTAAGAATTTCCTACATTATAATTTTGAAAGACGTTTGAGTGGGCAGACAATTTGGTCTAAAATAATCATATGTCTAAAAAATTAGTCTAAAATAATCAAAAACCACTTAACACATATAACTCGCTTTTAAAAAATCTAAAAGAAATAAGTTTGTTTATTATATTCATATTTTATTAAATTATTATAGGTGTGACTGCTAAGTGGTCGTACTCGCCACTTTAACCAAGCATTGGTGGGACCTTCAGAGATCATAATGCGAATTTCTTCATACCATGTAAATCTATATACATGTATTAATAAATGCGTTTGCTTTATTAAATTTTTTTTCTTATACGGTATGAGCGAAAAAAAACGGCGTCTATTTGTTTACGTACAAATGACATCGATATTCATTTCCAAACCACCTCTGAGGCCGTTTTTTTTTATCGTATGGTATATATTTACATATCCCTTATCCTTTAATTCCGATTTATTTCTAATAATTATAAAAATAAGATACCTGATTAATTCTTCCGAAATATTATAAAATGAGATATCACGAAAGAAATAAAGTTAATTATCTCGTTTGTTTTGGGAATTCCAAAAAAATAAAAAAAAGGGTATAGAGAATCTTTAGAGACACAGTTCAAATGTTATTTTTGAGTATACTGGTTGCTTCAAAAAATGTGGCGGATACATGTTTTTTAATGCAAAACTCCATTTTTATTTTATTTTCGATTCTGCCTAAAATTCTATAACTTTTTTTTATAAATAACGTTAGTAAGTATTTACAATTTAAAAAAAAAGTAAAATTTTATTCCTATGTTACTTAACTGTCAGTTGTTTCCGAAGTTGGACTACACAAATTTGGTAGGAGTGTTTTACAGAGATGAAAAAAAAATATATTTATATGTAAAAATACTTGCAGTTAGATGCTACACTGTGTTCAAACATTTTTTTTGGCTGATCCGATATATATATTATTATTTTTTCTAGTGATTTTACAAAACCTTTCAACATTTGTTAAGAAAGTATATTAAGTACACCTATACTCAACAGCTTGCAATCTGTTCTGAATTTTATCCTTCTTTTAATTCATTTACATTATAACAAGTTGCCATATGACAAAACAAAAATTATTTATTATTAAACATTAAGTAAAGTGATTTATTTAGTTATATGACATTCTTAATAGAAGTTGAAGGATTTTGTAAAATCTATCAGAAAGAATTATAATATATCGGGTGTTTTTCAAAAGTAGCTTGATTGATGTATTCAATTAGTTTCGGTCATTTCTTGTTTCACCGGAAATGACTACAACTTTTGGTTTTTAAATGGTACCGTCGGTATTTTTTTACTTTATTTTGCAGAATATGGCATTCTCAATAGAATAATTCAATGTCAACTTTTGACTCTTTTACTTAAAAAATAGTATTTTAAAGTTCAATCTAGTAGAGTGCCATGATAATAAACAACATGTAACCGGTCGTAAAGATAACGACAGTTTGACTCGACATACGGAGTGTGTGGTACCAAATTATTTACCAAAATTAGGTACCAAAATTTATTAGGTATCAAAAAATGCTTTTCCAAATATGCTAATGAGCCACTCTCGTTTCATTAAAAAAAATTGAGTTATGATTAAAATACGAAATGGGCATATTTCAACTGACCAGGAAAAGACACAAAAAATATTAGACGACCAAATCAATTTTTCCAAAGCTCCTTGATTAATCCTTGATTAAAAAATAATGGTTTTAACACAGCCATGACACTAGATTGAATTTTAAAATGCTATTTTTGATTTAATTGAAAATGTCAAAAGTTGACATATGATTGTTGATGTCAAAAGTTGTCATTCTATTCAGAATGTCATTTTCTATCAAATAAAGTACCGTATGATCGAATAAAAACGGCGTCAGCAATGGCTATGAAATGAAAAGCGCTGTCATTTTATATGTAAATTTATATGAGAAATGTCATCGATGTTCATTTCATAGCCATCGCTGACGCCGTTTTTATTCGATCTTACGGTATAAAAAATACCGAGGGTACCATTTAAAAATCAAATGTATACATTTCCGGTGAAACAGGAAGTGACCGAAACTAACTGAATACGAATCAATCTCGATTTATGTCATATACCTACTAACATTCCCAATTTAGTTTTTTTCTCGGAATCTGAAAAAATAAAAAAGTTATAGAGGTGAACCACTTTAAAAAAAAACACTCAGTATAGGCTGTGTCATTGAAAGAGTCTGCAGATATTTTTTTAATTTTAAATACGTAGAATTAACCATTAATATATGTTGAACACCCTGTAGCATCTGCCTTAAATATCTACATAGTATCTAATATTTTTTCTTCATCAACAAATTGAAATATTAGAAAACTAGTTTTAGGTTACACCATTATACAAGGATTATACATAAAAAAGTAATAATTTTACGCAGGATCTAAAATAAAATAGGATGTTACATTTAAAAAAAAACATTATGTTAAATCCGTCATACTTTTCAAAGTTACAGAGGTAGGTAGGTATAGTTTCATATATTTTTTAATTATCCATCTAGAAATAAAATATATACATATATACCTAATATAATAATTTAGTATTTTAACAAGGGGCCATGAAAATCAAAATAAATATAAATCCATATCCAAAAATAAAAATGTAAATAACGCTTTGAGGTAAAATTCGGTTCAAAGCAGATAAGATATTTTATTCTTTACCGAGAATTAAATTCGAAGAATTCCTAGTCCCTACTTCTTTGCCAAATTCAATAGTCTCCGCCCCATTTTACGTTTTAATTTCTGCCACCAGTTGGCAGCATCGACTTATACAGGCACATTGACTAACTATTAATATATAAACAAGGATATTACTAAACAAATCGCCATCAACAATGGATATAAGTGTTCCGTTATTGATAATATGCTAAAGAAAAAACAAAAGAAAATATTAATGAAAAATTTTTATTTCGCTAATTCTAAAGACAATAGCAATTATCGACATTTAAACTACATTCCTAATTTAACTAACAAAATATCAAATAATCTCAATAAAATAGGATGTAAAACTATTAACGTAAATAAAATAAATTTAGGTCAAATTTTATTACATAATAAAGACAAAACTAATGTCAAAAATAAGTCGGGTGTATATAGGGTGGATTGCAATGATTGTGATGCCGTGTACATAGGCCAAACAGGTAGAAATTTAGATATAAGGATTAAAGAACATGTAAAGTCTATTAATAATCTCCAGCATAGTTCTGGTCTTGCAACTCATTGTATAGTAAATAATCACAAAATTAATGAAAGCTCAATTAAGTTACTACACAGAGAAACAAAAGGCAGACGTTTAAATTACATTGAACAGTTAGAAATACTAAAATCTGTTAAAAACGAAAATAATGTTAATGACCAACAAGGATTTCTAAACACATTTTTTATTACCCCTATTGTAAATTCTCTGAACCCACCCCCATAGCAAATATATATATAGTTACAGTATAGTTAGACGATTAGTTCTTAAAAAACTCTTGAAAAAGGCCTAACAAGCCGAAACATATATGTAGAGTTAAAGTTACTCTTATTAAAAGTTTTTTGATACATCTAAAAGCGTGTTTTATTAAAATACTAATATTTTAACGATGTTTCACAAGGAACCAACCACAGCTTCAGTACTATTAAATATTTATGTAATATTCCATGATAAATCAATGTATTTTTACATTAATTTTCCATGTATTTTTACATGCGTTTTTTCAGTGTATACTAACATACCAAATATCGTTTTTTTATCTGAAAGAATAAAAAAGTTATAGGGGGTGAGCCACTTTTGAAAAACAATAGGTAAAGTGCGTCTGCTGGATCTGTGTCTATGAAAGGAATGCGGACAAAAAACATTTAAATAAACAGCAGTGTATTTTATACGTCGACTTGACGAGTATGTCACCGCAAATCGCTCCGCCCACTTATTTTATTGGCTACTTGCAAATTTGTCGAATTTTTATTGATGGGACGCGTCCTCTAATTTTTTACGAAAAACATCGAGAGAATATCGTTTCCCCTCTCACGGATACCCCGTAGCTCTAGAACGGACAGACGTACTGTATATATCGGCTCTTGGCTGACACGTCTCGAGTTCGAATCTCGGTGGAACGTACTAAGTTTTACATAAATTCGATCAAGAAAATAATTATTTCTATTTATTGTTTTTAGGCGAAGCAAGTTTTAGCGGTCAACATTTAGCCTCTAATCAAAATCAGCAACAGTCAAATAAAAAAGGAAATGTTAATAGTCCTGGTTTAAGCTCTTACGATTATTCTATGGTCGACTTCAGACAGTTTAGAGGAGGTGCCGGCCGAATTGAACCAAAAGGACAGATTAAATCAAAATATAAAGCAAGGGTAAATATTATTTTTAAAGGATGTACAAAATAAAAACCGCTATCGATTAGGCTAATAAGTGTGTGCAGTGCTGCCACTACGCAAATATAGCCTTAATGGGACGTTTTTAATGAGTTTTAAATTTCCCTCTCGATATTGTGTTGGCAACGCCAAGTAAGGAGTAGGCACCTCTGCGGTTGCAGAGGTGCCACGTTTATTTGACATTTATCAGAATTTTCTGAACGTTAATTGAGAATTGTGTCTCGTGTGTTTTGTGTTTTTTACAGCTTTTAATACCTTTATCTAGCGATTGGAAACTGTTGTTTTCAGAATATTTTCTGTAGTAGTAGTTAGTTTTTTCTTTGCAAAATTCCCAAGCAGTTAAATAGTCGGTGCCAAGAATTAATGTCATCACTGTTACCCTTACAGGTGGTTCGAGAAGTAAGTAAAACACTCGGTAAAACATAAAAATAAAGAGTTTGGTAGAAATTAGCCTAAAAATTGTTTTAAACAATAAAAAACATGTTTTGTTTAAAAATATTTCATTGCAGCACTGCCTTAAACTATTTAAAACTGTTAACAATTTAAAGTTTATTTTAGAATTTTTAATAGATCTAGATATACATTTTTCAAAAATATTTTTCTTTCTATTACAATCTGGCAACAATGCTGTCTAAAATGTACGCATGTGCTCGATGACGTGCAACGGTTTTTAATTTGTATTTCCTTTATATAAGTTTTATGTTTTTATTATCTATGACATTGCCTTACTACTCTAATTATTTATTATCCTTTTTATTGCAAATTAAAAAAAAGAACTAAAGGCAGCAGTGTGCACTAAAAAAATTGCTATCACATAATATTCAGTACGTTTACAATGTTGTTACACTGAAAAACACCCGGGCTGAACAATATTAGAGAACAACGGCAGACGGTCGAGTCGGCCTACAAACACGTAAACGTTTACGTACGCATGCGCATTTCTTATATTTTTTATTTTCTACGTATACGTGCCAGCAGCGGCCGACTCGACCGTATGCCGTTGTTCTCTATTAATTCAACGTTGGACAACGTATTGAACCGTACGATAAAAAAAACCATCAAAGATGGCTGGGGAATGACAATCGATGATAATTTTGACGTCATTACTTTGCCTGTACTCTTCTTTATTTTTTAATGGCGCTTACTGCCAGTTGGCCTTAAAAAGGTGCTAATGTATTTTTATATTGGATACAAATGATTTTAAAATTGTATAGTTGGAAGTTTATTAATAGTGGAGTGCCCAGAGACTTTTACCTCGGAATTCAATTACTGTGAATGTATATATATATATATATATATATATATATATATATATATATATATAAACGGGATTTGGTTTAAATATTTAATACTCATTTCCAACTACAGCCTATTGCTGCCTTCCCGTTACCCTACGCCACACATTTCGATTTAGAGCGTCATCAGCTTCTAGGTTACGAGCTTCCATTGCTTCCGTAACCGTTCCGTTCCAGGATTTTCTAGGTCTACCTCTCTTTCTTCTGCCCTGGGGAGCCCATTGAAAAACTCTTTTTGGCCACCTGTTCTCCGGCATACGCAGAACATGTCCAAACCATTTTGCTGGATTTTTCGATTCGATCCAGTACTGTCTCCTCCGATGCATTCATGATACGCCTGACCTCGATGTTTGTCTTTTTTTCCATCCTAGATATACCTGCACTTCTTCTAAGGTAGTCCATTTCAACAACTTGGATTTTGCGCTTCGCGTCTGCACTCAGAGTCCATAGCTCTGAACCATAGCAAAGAACTGACTCCACCAATGTTCTTCCAAGTCTCTTTTTAGTTGTTGCAGATAAGTTTCGGTCCCACCAGAGGCTGTTAAGACATCCAATAACTTGTTTTGCTCTTCTGAATTCGGGTTTGTATTTCTTCTTTGCCCAAACCCTCGTTGTTGATAGTAGCACCCAGGTATTTAAATTTGTCTACTTGTTGAATCTGGACGTTATCATTAATGAAGACTTCAAAACAAGCGTTGGAATTGACAGCCAAGTATTCGGTCTTCTTTAGACTAACCTGAAGTCCCCATTTGTTGTATTCTTGATAAAGCCTCTTAGTCATGAACTCTAGATCGTATGAGTCTTGCGCAATCACGACCTGATCGTCTGCAAAGCTCAGGGTAAATAGTGTGTTGTCCCCAATGGGTATTCCCATACCTTGACATTTCGTCTTCCATTCCTTAAGGGCTACTTCGACGTAAGCGTTGAAGATCAGGGGAGATAAGCTGCATCCTTGTCGCAACCCTTTTGTGGTGTTAATTGGATTAGATAGCCTGTGTCCCATCTTAACGTACGATTCATTTTCTTTATATAGCTCTTTTATTATCTTAAGCAAAGATCTATCTACTTCTAAGATATTCAAGACTTCCCATATCTTGCTGCGGGGAATAGAGTCGTACGCTTTCTCCAAATCAATAAATGCTAGATGGACTTCTTGATCTACTGCTATCTTTTTTTCCATCACCTGCTGCAGGACAAAAAGGTTATCTGTGCAAGATTTCCCCGGTGCGATTCCGCTTTGGTCTTCCGAGATTTTGTCACCAATACTGTCCCTGAGCCTACCCTGTAGCACCTTTCCAAAAAGTCTGCTGACCGAACTGTTAATGCTTAGGCCTCTATAACAAGTGGGGTCGTTACGATTTCCCTTTTTAAAGATGGACACTATGTGAGCCACTCGCCATTCTCGGGGTAGTTTGCTTTGCAGGCAGCACTGGTTAAATAGCTCTGCCAGACGCCAGCGCAGTCTTTGGGTTCCACACTTTAACAATTCCGCTACAATATTACCAGGACCTGGTGGCCGTCCATTTTTCATTCTTTTGAGACTTTGATGTATTTCTCTTTCGCTTATCATTAAAGTGCCTGCAAGGTTGTTCTCATCTTCTACTGCTTGGAATTCTGGTCGGTTTTCTGTCAGTAATTCTGCATAGTAGTTGCGCCATTTTTCTATATCCATTCTATTCAAGAGCTTGTCCGTTTGATTGGTTTTCATTTGTCGGATTGTTCTCCATACCTCAGTACTCCGTGCGCCCCCTATTAGGCTTTCCACTTGCTGGCACCTTCTTTCCCAAATATCTGTTTTTCCTACCTTAATGGCGGCTCGTACCTCTCTATTTTTTGCTTGTAATAACTCCAGTTAGTATCTGTTCGGTCTGAGAGCCATCTTTGATAGAATTTTTGTTTGTCATTGATTAAGGCCTTTATGCTGTCAGTTATCCAAGCTGGTTCATCTTTTTTTTTCTGCATGTTCAGTTCACCTAAAACTTCGAAAGCTACTTTTTTAATTATGGTTTTTAGGTTGGTATACTCTAGTTCTACATCGTTACAGGCTTTCACTTCCTCTAGGGCTACATCTAATCTTCTCTGGTATAACCATTTAATACTGGCATTGTGTAGTAAATGAAGCTTGTACTTAATATGCTCAGATTCTTCAGTTTCAAGTTCTTGTGATGTTGTGTATTCTATACTTTTGGCTCTGCTCTGGAAAGGTACTACTAATTCTGCAACGACCAGACGGTGGTCGGATCCACAATTTGCTCCTCTCTTAACTCTGCAGTCTTTGAATTTGAGTTTCGATATTTGTTTAGCAATCATATAATCAATTATAGATTTTTGTTGCAGAAAGGGCCTTTCTCGGGTGTATCGATGAATCAATTTGTGTGGGAAGAAGCCGTTAAGTATACGTAGACCATTCAGTTCGCAAAAGTCAATTAACCTCTCTCCAGAATCATTAAGGACGTCCTCACCGTGTTTTCCAACCACTTTACTATCTTCTTTCTTACCAATTCTTGCGTTAAGGTCTCCCATGATTAAGACTTCCTGGCTCGGTTTTATTTCTGTGAGGACTTTTGAGAGTGCAGCATAATAAGAGTCTTTTTCCGCTTGGTTTGAATCATCTGTGGGCGCATAAGTACCTATTATTACGGTTTCCAATCCGAAAATGGTCAAGGTGACAGTTACTATTCTTTCGTTGACAGCGTTGTAATTCTTGTAAAATTTAGATAATTTTTTCGCAATCAGTACCGATACTCCAGCTTGAGCTCGTTTTGCCTTATCTATCCCAGACCAGAAGTGAAGGAAGTTGTCGAGATGTTCACTTCCTCTCCCTTTCTTCTTCGTTTCAGAAAGAACAACTATATCTAGGTTGAACCTAGCCATCTCTGATGTAACTTCCGAGGTCTTGTTGACAAAGCTGTTGACATTCCAAGTTCCTATTCGCATAGTCCGTTTCGTAGCCAGTTGTCGTCGTAAAGAATATCTGTCCGAATTCCGAGGCGTGTTTAGGGTTCTTTGAGCAATTAAGTTTTTTTCCGAGTAACAGGTCGCTAGCCCGTTGCCTCAACCCCCAACCTGGAGGACCAGGGGCCTTTCTGTAGGGATGCCCATCCTTAGCCGAGAGAACCGGTTTTGAGGCGCCGGAATCTCGCCTTCGCCCTATTCCTGTTAGCTGCATAACACCCATCCATTGGATGCCATACAGTACCAGTGGTCACGCGGCTCTCATGAGCCTTCGAGGACGTAGGAAGTCTGTTTAAAGCATTTTCTAAAATTATGTAGAGTTCTACAGGGTGTCTCCAAAAAAAGTTACACATCAAAGTTATGTTTTTTGTAACGGAACACCCTATATATTAATTGATTTTTGGATTCTGGTAAAAAATAAAGGTTTGTTTCATTAGAAAAGTATATGACTAAAATGTATAGTTTTTGAAATACTCCAATCACCGGCACGAAAAATGGGCACCTTAAAACTTTGATGTATTTTAAAGGCTAATATATATTTTGTTTTAATGGGCCGATTTTGATGATTTTTTTAAGCAGTGTGTAGCCAAATTATTTGACTTTTTAGTATCTTTTTCTAAATTAAAAATGAAACTCCCCATCTGTTAATTATACAAGGGAAAATAAAATGTTGATATTTTGTTGAAAGTTTGAAAAATCCTGTGGAATATGTTAAAACAGCAAAAAATTTAAAAATAATTTTATCATCTAGATACATCCTTTCTCGATGGTTTGTTTTTTGGTTCATCTCATTTTTGGTGGATATATTCGCTTTTGAAGAAGACACTAACATTTTTTCGTAATTTTTACATTAAGACCATGCCTTTGCTTTTGGGCCTAGTCAACACATCTAGTAAGTTCTGGTCCCGAAGCAGGCCTTCTTGACATAAGATTTGCTTCATTTAATCTTCTTATAGTCCGTTAGTTAATATGTACGTTCCTTAAGCGCAATTCATTATTAATTTGAAAAGCTGGCAAACGGCGGTTTCTTAGCGATTAACTTACAATAAGTCGATCATCTCGATTAGAAGTTCTCATACGAAGGTTACTGGACATCTAGATTGACATCCTCATATATAGACGTGGTTATAATTCAAAAATCACTTAGTATACTCAGTATGTATGTCACTTAGTATACTCATACTTAGTATGGTATTAAGGTATTTTTGGAACCGGAGTTTTATAGCAAATTCACTAAGCTAAACAAATATAAACAAAAGATCTATGTTATCGTGGGGACTGTAATAAAAAACAAGAAAGAATTTATTGGGCAAACCCACAGCAAGATTAGTCATGTTTTAGTCATGTCTCATGACTAATCTTGCTGTGGGTTTGCCCAATAAATGCTTTCTTCTTTCTAAACAAATATATATATATATATATATATATATATATATATATATATATATATATATATATATATATATATATATATATATATATATATATATATATAATATAGATATATATTTGACTTACCCTGTATATCTATAAAAAATATCTTTGAAATGTGACTACCATTAAACACATATTTTGTAAAAGGTTTGGAGTGAAAATTTCAAATAGGAATCCTGATACAGAGCTTTTCCGGAATACGGAGCCATCTTGTATGTATGCATTTGTATATGTGTGTTTTTTCTAAGTACTAAAGTGAAAGCAACGAATTAAATTCCCCATCTGTTAATTAAATTTACCCATTTAAAATGGGTAAACTTTATAATATATCTTATTAACAATACAATGCAAAAAGTTTTATAAAAATTCGTTCACAGTAAATGAATTCCGAGGTTTGTATCCCATAAAGGCTTAAAGCACTCCACTATAATAATTTTTTGGAGATAGATTCGTGTGCCTGGAAACCTTCTATCTCTTTTTAATCTTTCTATAACTAATGTTAGTTTTTGGTAAGTTTTGTATCAAAATGTTTAGTAAACGACGTGTAGAGATTGACCGCGCCAATATTATCATCGATTGTCATTCTCCAGCCGTCTCTGACGCCGTTTTTTTTCGATCATACGGTTTTTATATTGCTTATATTGATATTTTAAAAACATTCGGCGCGGATGTCCTGTATTATATTTTTTATCTTCTTGAAGCTCATTTGGCTAATTATATTAAATTAATATGTTTTTTTTAGAACAAGATAAGATTAAATAAACGTGGAAATAACAAATCAGCTGTGTTTGGAAAAAAGGTTGGAATATAAGAAAATGGCTTTACTTTCCTGTATTAATTGTTGAATGCATATATTAAGATTTAAAATTTATTTTTTGTTTATAAAGACACATCTTGTTTTTTTTTCTAGAAATAAAAGATTGAAAAGATTGTTTATATAAGTTGTTTTATTTAATTATAATAACGTTTTGTAACACTAGGGGGTTTGTTTCAAAAATTATAATCCAGCGACTGCAGCCTTAAGGATGGCATATTTATCAAATCTGTCCCTGCTGCACGTTCCTCTGAAATCATCCAAGGTCAAGTCGTCAATTGCAATTCCTCCCAGTCCTGAAAAAATAGATAATTTAATCTAAGTTCTGGCACAGCCTATTTAGTAGACAGTCAGTCGGCTTACGGTCATTTACATAGCCTACTAGCAACGTTCGGCTTTTGGTCCCGATTTCCGTATGTAACAAGAGTCCATTAAATGTTACTGAACAAAGAGAGAAGAGAAAACGTTGCCAAAGGCATGAAATAAACCGAGAAACTGCACATCGCTAAGAGACGTGGAATGGGATATAGCAGCTTCGTCGCGGTCGACATGGTCGCGCCACAAAAATCATGAAATTGAAATCCTGTACTTTAGAATTCTTGGGAAGAGTACATCATAGAGGTGGAAATTCTAGTTCCTCCTTCTAGTTCCTCCTCTAGTTCCTTGAACTAGGTCTTTAGTTCACAATAGTTCCCGTCAAACATTGTACGCAACGAGACATTTGCGTATGTTAAAAACATATAGCTAAGTTTTCTTGCAGATAAAAAAATAAAATAGCAACTCAAATCAGAGTTTAAAAAACTCTATCATCAATCAATTGGAGCAAATAATACGAAAAATTGTCTTTTTCCTCATTCAAGCTTTTTGTTTTTGTCTAAAAATTCAGTTAGGTTAGTTCAGATCCGTACATAAACTAGTCTTTTATTTAGTTCCTGTAGGTCCGGATCCGATAACATACGGCTGGCACTCCCCACTCATTGGCGTAACTACAGGGGAGCCCAGGGGAGCCTCCCACTCCCAGGTACTGCTGGGCACCCCCCAGAGAAATCCTGAATTATGACTCTTGGCTACGTATTAATTTTTATTTGCTTGTGATGTAGTAAAAATGACGTTTTCTAGTTTTGTTTTAGAAAATTTGTAGGTATTTAAGTAATCTACGGGAACACGGTTTGATAACCAAGTCTATGAAATTTATTGATAGAGAAATTCATGTAAACATTTTATTCAAAAAATGTGTTTTTTAAAATTATTTTTCATTTTTAAAAAAACAAAAGCCCTAGGCCCCCCTGGGCCCAACATCAGGCCTCTCCCGGGCTCAACATCAGGCCCCCCCAGGCCCCGGCCAGGATAAATTGCTAGTTACGCTAATGTCCTCACTCCTGCCTAGTATCGGGCTACGATCGCGCTGGCTGATCCGTCGCCGTCGCATATTATTATATATCGGTTGTTACAGTCTCGATCCCGGAATAGGTCCTGAGGAACTAGTTCTTTGAGAAACAAGGAATTAGTTCCTTTCATTCCGGGGTCGGAATAGTTCATTGGAACTAATTCGTTTACGAACTACACACCTTTAGTACATCATGCGTTTAGCTTCACGATTTAATTACGTATCATTATACTTTATTTGTTTAATTATTGACAACTCGTTTTAATTTTCCTTATATATTATTAAATGCAAGTTAGAAATTAAACAACAGCTCTAAAGTCCTCAAAGAGTTGGTGCTCGAAAGTGGTCGCGCTATTAAAACTCTGAATTCAAAAATCGATATCTTGAAATAATTGATTGTGTTTTTTCAAATTTTTTAATGTTTTTGCTATACTTTCTTCGCGTACAGTGTGTAAACCTTAGATGTCAACATTTTTACAAACAAAAAAGTAACACAATAGCTGAAAATTGCCATACACTAAAAGTGGAAGGATGCGTTTTTTAATCTTTTGAATGAAAACAAAAACAAGCCTATAAGTTTATCATTTAAACATTTTGGCGAAGAACCGAACTTCAAAATAAAAAAGAAGTGTCAATATCTAAAGTGGTTCTTGAGTTATCACGTGTTATGTGTTAAAAAGTTGAGTTTTCAAATTACCGCGATTAATGAAGTTTTTTCATTATAAAAGAAATAGACGCCCAAACGATATTATTATAACTCGATTTCTCTCCACTAGACAGGAAAAAGCGCACTTGTATCTCCGGTAAATGGGACAACGCCGCAATAGCACACCGTCGATTTTTTCTCTCCGATCCCCAAGCAATTCACTCCCACACATGTAAATACCGACACAAGATCAAGCCTTCCCAATGCCTACGTAGTGTAGGGGTAAAGAGAAATATCTTCGTACACTAACAAAAGGTCATAAAAAAGGGAAGATTTAAGATGGCTGCTGTAACAAAAACCTAAAATTTACAATGTGCGCCGAAAATTTTTAGAACAGGAAATGCTTTAAAAGAGATACATATTTGACGCGAAGGCGCGGGTTTCAAAAAAATACAAATTTTATTTTCATGTCACATGAAATAAATTATCGATTTTTATTCAGCAACAATATGCTGGGCCTCTATATATGAAAATAATTGTTTTATATTCTAAAAAATAAAAACAAAACTTTTTTGGGTAATGTTTGGTTATGTTACTTTTATTCTCTTATCTATGGTTACTTTTCATTTTTTAGATTTGTATGTCATTAGCGCCACTGTTGTCATTTCGTGAACCCTGATTCTTCCCATTTTTGTGACCACTTTTTCAAATAAAGTCCTATAAGAACTATTTCTCCTCATCTCTACACTCCATATCAACGCCGTAGAACTCTGCGTACAGTACAGTACGTCTGTCCGTTCTGTAGCTACGGGGTATCCGTGAGAGGGGAAACGATATTCTCTCGATGTTTTTCGTAAAAAAATAGACGACGCGTCCCATCAATAAAAATTCAACAAATTTGCAAGTAGCCAATAAAATGAGTGGGCGGAGCGATTTGCGGTGACGCACTCGTCAAATCGACGTATAAAATATATTGCTGTTTATTTAAATGTTTTTTGTCCGCATTCCTTTCATAGACACAGATCCAGCAGATGTACTGTACATCTGCTAGATCTGTGTCTATGAAAGGAATGCGGACAAAAAAGATAATATTTTTTTACGAAAAACATCGAGAGAATATCGTTTCCCCTCTCACGGATACCCCGTAGCTACAGAACGGACAGACGTACTGTACTAAGACTGGTACTACTCTGATTTCCTGCATGTGTACGACAACAGGCACACGGCAGGTGAAGCAGGGGTACTCAAAAATTATTGAAGCTGACCGACTAGACAGTGAATAAGCTGGGACTTTCTGGTATTTTAAACTGTAAATTATACCTTTATTTTTAACGTAAGCTGCTTTACTAGCTGCCGATTCAGGATCTTCGTATCCAATCCATATTCCATCTTCGTCCTTTTCTTCGTCTGGTAATTTGTAAGCGTACGATCCTGTAACGAAATATGTTTAATTTTAATATTCAGACTTTGTAGATGATTCTATTATGGTAAGCATAAAAATACCGATATTGTACAAACAAGTTTACTAAACGAACTAGTTCATTGAACCTTTGCGCGAACTAGTTCTTTTAAAAGAAGTATTAAGTACATGTCTATTAGTCAATAATAATAATTCCATTTCTTGCGAACTTGGGCTCCCTAAAAATTGTCTAGATCCGCCCATGGTTGCAGAGCTTAACCACTCCCATAAGCGCTGGAAGTTTTGTTGAACTTAACACCACTACATATTTTCATACAAGGCGAAGTCAGATCTGCATGCACAGGTGAATTCACAGTCAGCAGCACATAAGCCCTGGTATTAGGATTATATATAATATAATTAAGGTATTGGCATTACCGCTAGGTGCAACAGCTACAAGGTATTGGTATAGCTTTATCAACAAATTTAACATGTCAACAACCATTACAGTTGGGGGATGGAGCTTTTGGTGTTACACAGCAAAATAAAAACTAAATCACCACAATACACCAAAACACTTTTACTTTTACACTGGACGCGCGTTTCGCATTTACTGCTCAATTTGAGAACGATAGATTACCATTTCTAGATGTATTAGTTATTAGAAATACTACTAATTGCCTGAAATTTGATATCTTTAGAAAAAATACCACCATATGCAGATACCTTTCTAATGAGTAATTTCTTAGTGTTGAACATACGATGGCTTTAAATTTCTTAGTTCATAAATTACTTAGTTTTCCACTTACCAACGAAAGATATGAAATAGAAAAAAAATACATTAGGAATGTAGCTGAGTGAAATGGAAATGCTCCTTCATCAGTGGATAAAATAATTAGAAAACGTAGGTATAAGTTTGCGATTGCTGAAAATTCGACTTTTCAAGTGGAGAAAGATACGTCAAAATATTTTTAATACCGTTTAATAAAGAGTTATCCAGTGATTTAAAAAGAATTTTTAAGAATGTCAATTATAAACTTCTATAATATAGTGCTAATAATAAATTATAACAACTATTAGGCAATCCTAAAGATAAAATACCTCCACTAGAAAGGTCGGGTATTGATGAAATTTCATCTAAAGATTGTAATCAGAAATATGTTGGGCCAACTAGAAGATTAATGTTAACTAGATTTAAAGTACATATATAGCTCAGATATAAGATATGGTAGACCGGATAAATCTTGCGTTACAACATATTGTTGATAAAGAACGTTGTACAGATATTAATTATTTAAAATTAGTTCTCTTAGTAGTTATTTGAACTCGGTGCCCACTGAGCGAGTATATAAACGCTCAAATTGTAGATATTAGTTTAGTTTTTAATCATCTGCTGATGATGCTAACATGGTTAGCGAAACGCGCGTCCGGTGTAAAAGTAAAATTTTGGCGTATTGTGGTAATTTAGTGTTTTATTTTATTTTGATATCTATACCAGGAAGGGAGGCCTGGAGAAAAGGTGTGTCCTAAGGATCAGAAGAGGACCATAATAGTTTTGGAAAGGTCGCAGTGGATCAGGCCGATAGCCACCTCGTAGAATCCAATCTAATCTAATGGTTGCAAAACACTGTATACGTACCTCTTCTTTTAGTAACATCAACAATTTTCCTATATCCTTGAGGAGAAACGTTTCCGGCTCCCTGTACTCTGACGCATATTTCTGGATAACTCAAAATTCCGGCGTCTTTGGTTAACGGGCCCGGATCACCGGCCCCGTCTAAACCTTCCGGTGGTACGTTATCGACTTTGGCGTCGTCGTCCAGTTTCCAGGTACGTCCGTAGGTGGGGATGCCCAGGATCAATTTGTTTGCTGGAAAACCGTTGCTCAACCTGCAATGATCAATATACGGCGTTATTCATGCTATTCGACACTATTATATCTTACGGCACTACGATATACTTATAAGGTGTCAAAAAATAGTTTATCGAACTTCGCAAAAGTTCCACAAACAAAAAGTTTCTATAAACATGTGCCCTAAAATGCTTCGCGAATAAATTACGGCCCTACGGAAAGGTAAAATCAAAATAATATATTTTGTTTATTTTTAAGAACATTGGTAGACCGTTTCTCTTGAAATTTGGCACTCTTACACACATTTTAAAGCCAAAGCGAATAGTGTAAAATTTCGTAAAAGGCAATGTGCACAATTTAAAATTATTTTGTATGTACAGGGTGTTTCAGAACGAAGATACATACCAAAGTTTATTTCTTATAGAACACCCGCATATTTTATTTAATTTTTGTGTTGACTTTTAAGCCAACCCAACCAAGAAATAAACTTTACTGAAAAATTTGATAGCTTCGTTTAATGTATACCAGGGTATCAAAAATTGCTGGTCTATTTTAAATATCTATTTTACATAAAAACTTCGATATTTCAAATACAACACCGTGTACTTTTTAAAATAAATCGAAGCAGATTCAAATGCTCTTTCAAACTATATTAGGGTTTCCTATACTTATCTAGCTCAGAATTTTAATAAAGAGTCATTTTTCAATAAAATGGCAACCAAGATGGCTGATGTTGTCATGACAAGTTTCTAGTGACAGTTAGTAGCTATTTTCTCAAAATCGAAATTAGTTTATGGACTTTATTTAAATTATTTATAGCAGTTTACTTACTTCTAGGAAGAAAAACGAAGAAGTAGTTTTTTGATTTATTTTACGATGACTTGTAGATATATGCATTTTCTATAAAAGAGCCAATTACGGCAAATTCATTTTATTTATTTCCAACGACAGGTTTCTGCCTAATAGGTTTTTTATAAACCACACTACCATAGCTCTGTGAAATAAGACAAGTAGTTTTTCAAAGGAACACTTATCAGGAAGATTTCTGTTTGGATATCTTTGAGCATAAGCTCTTGAGGCCAAGAAGCAATTTTTCTCACAAAATAAAATCACTAGTAACATACCCATTCGTTCCGCCAGCAGATACTGCTCTATTTTTCTTGATAAAATATAAATCTAAATAATAATGTCCATACATTAATGTCCATTTTGAAAATAGTTACTGTCACCAGACTGTCACTAGAAAATTGCCATGGCGACACCAGCCATCTTGATTGCCATTTTATTGAAAAATCGCTTTTTATTCAACATCTGAGCTATAAGTATAGGAAACCGTACAGTTAGTTTGAAAGATCATTTAAATCTGCTTCGATTTATTTAAAAAAATACAGGGTGTCGCATTTGAAATAACAAAGTTTTTATGTAAAATAAATATTTAAAATACACACAATCAAACTTATATGGAATCACTCTTTATTTCTGACTAAATTTCTTGCAAGGATAAAAATTGGTATACAACTTTAAGATAGAACTTTTTGCTGTAAATAAACATGATAATAAAGAATAAACGACTGCTGCGATTTATTTTCTTTTGAATTTTATGTTCAGTAGTAAAAATCACGATTGTCCGGTAATTTTCATTCAATCCAAAAAAAAATTAAAAATGCCTTATTTTGGATTAACAGATGTACAGAGGGGAAGAATTATTGTTCTAACCGAACAAGGAATGCTCCAGAGAGACGTAGCAGAGATAGTACGCGTTACCCAGGGTGTTGTAGCGAAAACATATGCAAGATACTTGGAATTAGGAACACACAAGGATAGGCCCAGACAAAGTCGTCAGAGTCACAAGTGAACCACAAGACCGCCTTGTGTGCCAAATTGCTAGAATAAATCTCAATGTTTCCCATCCAGAGCTACAAAGACAACTTCTGGCAGCTACAAGTGTGAACGTTTCAGTTGAAACCATAAGAAAAAGGCGTGTACAAGGGTTTTACAGCAGGAGAGAGTTACGGATCCCACAGAAAAAATTGATATAACATAAATTGATTTGCTTTGCCTTCAACATCAAAACTGGACAACTGAGAATTGGCAAAATGTTCTTTTTTTCGGATGAGACCAGAATTGGCCTAAGATCAGATAACTATCGAATTCGGGTTCTCAGAGCTCCAGGAAGACAAGCGAGACTCCAGGCTGCCAAATCTGTACCGAGATATAAAGGAGGAACTGTAATGTTCTGGGGAGGTATTATACTAGGAGCAAAAACTCCATTGTTACCACTTCAACAAATTTTAACGGGTCGGAGATATGTTGATTTGGTGCTAGAACCACTCGTTAGTCTTTGGAGAGCTGCAATTGCTGCCTATACCAGCAGAGTGACTAGAGAATGGCTTGAAACGGAAGGTGTCATAGTTTTGGACTGGCCTGTCTATTTACCAGATCTAAACTCTATCGAATACTTGTGGGACTAGCTCAAAAGAAGGGTTAGAGCTCGTCGAAACAATCCAGGAAATCTCGCACAGCTTATTGATGCAGCATTAGCAGAATGGAAAAACATACCCCAAGACAACGTGGATAATTTAATAAGAAGTATGCCAACGCGGATAGAAGCTTGCATAAGTGCTAGAGGTGGCAACAAGGAATATTAAAATTATCAATTTTCTTTTTACTTATGCTTTTTGGCCATTAAAAATTTAAATCTTAATTTCGTTTCAGAAACCAAAAAATGCAATTTTGTTTATTTTGGGAAATTATTATTTTTTTAATTGCTATATGGATTATTTTTCATTAAAAGTCATTGGTAAGGACTGAGTTTTATTCATAAACAGAAAATTTTCTCAAAAATTATGAAAAATAATAGATGATTCCATATAAGTTTGGTTGTGTATAGATCAGCAATTTCTGGTACCCTTGTATAAGGAAGCAATAACATTTTTCAGTAAAGTTTATTTCTCTACCTTTAAACTCAGCACACGAATTAATTCTGAAAAGTAATGTACAGGGTGTTGATAATCTATTCTATTGTAGCATGCATATTTAAATATCTTTAAATAGGTATCTCAAAAACCAAAGATTTTTAAACATATTTAACCCCTATTATAAATACCCTATCAATAATATTTAACCCTTACTAAATAAATACCTTTTTTTGGGCACAAGAATCCAAATGAAATAAAATACCGGGTGTTCCATAAGAAAAAATATAACTTTGGTATGGATCTTAGTTCTGAAACACCCTGTATAGTTCAAAATAATTTTAAATTGTGCACATTGCCTCCCCACATACACCCATTAAATATTTTGTTTCTACATCATTCCGTTTTCGTATAGTCAGCCGAGGCGAATGAGGTGCGCCACCCTGTATTTGGAACGCAAAATAAATATTTTTAAGATAAAATGCCAACAACATTTTCATGAAAAACTAATACCGTATGATCGAATAAAAACGGCGTCCAGTTGGCTGGGAAATGACGATCGATGACATTTCCCATATAAATTTACATATAAAATGACAGCGATCTTCATTTCATAGCCATCGCTGACGCCATTTTTATTCGATCATACGGTACTTACCAGTATTTGACCCAAGCATCGACATTTTCATCAGGTCTTCTGTCAATGAGGTCATACAATGGCGCTGGAAAATCAGCGAGTTTAGGATTCCGTTGTGGTGTGTAGAAGTCAAAGGCGTGTAGACTGACAAAATCGACATGGGGGGCTAAGGCCCTAGGATCATAGTAAACTGCGAAAAAAATTATATTATACCGGGTGGTGCATCGGTGTTGGAAACTTAAGAAATCCCATACAAATTTTGGCTTCCCTGTTGATTTTACAGGGAAGTTGAAATATTGTAATAGCAAAACATTTTCCGATGCACGTCATCAATCATATCAACACTGACACTAAAGTCTATAAACCCGACTAAATAAAATTTTGGCAAAAATGTTAATTAAGATACCGAGCAGCTCTTGAAAAATGATTGTAACAGATATTTTATTTAGATTAAAGCTGCAAAAATTAGTTTAAACCGAATTTTTTATTATCGCTATGTTGGCCACATTGCGCCGTTTTCAGCAAGGTTGTCGTTTATTATTTGACAATTATCCTAATGTCAGTCATTATTTTGTATAATATCGTGTTGTTGTTAAATCTCAGCGAGTAATTCTCGTTTTTGCCTATTTTCATAGTCTTTTTTTTAAATTGTACTTTTAAGCACAAACAGTTCTTTTAAGAACTACATTTTCGAGTTTTTGTATTGCATTTCTTGAAATTGTGTGTTGAAAATATGCCGAAGCATTTAAACAGTCGAAGCAAAGAGCTTATAGCTTCCCTGATAAACTATTTTGAACGAGAACGTGACAATAAAGATCCTTTATTACCCTTGACTGCAGTCAGCGAAGTAAGTTTGATTAATAAGCACATTACACCACTTTCAAAGTTATTTCTACGTTAGTTTTTATTAAATTCTGTTATTATTAGTTTGTGCATTAATAGCACCCTCTTACTTGTTATTACCACTTATGGTGTTGTAAGATATACATCAATAAATAAATAAATAACCCATAATAACGCTTAGAATAATCTTCATAATGGACTATTTTTTGCCAATATGTAATAAGTAAAATAAGCTACCGTATGATTGAAAAAAAACGGCGTCCAGTTGGCTTAGAAATGACGATCGATGACATTTCCCATATAATTTTACGTATAAAATGACAGCGATCTTCATTTCATAGCTATCGCTGACGCCGTTTTTATTCGATCATACGGTATAAAACAAATAAATCAATTAATTATTAAAATATTAGTTATTAAATTAAACATAAAGCGTAAAAATCTTTAAAAAAATGATATAATAAATATATTGTTTGTCACTTTTAAATAAAAATTTATCTCATAAATCCATCACAATCTGGCAGCGCTGTCGCCATCGTTTGTCACTCAAAGTTGATCACGTGCATCGGAAATTGTTTTCGATTACCATAGGTTTTTAAATCTATACGTACCTGTGCTGTTTATGTTTGGTAATACGGTTAAGGTAACCAGTAAATTATCGGCTTTAAAAGTGTTTTTTAGTTCTTTAACAAGAGACGTAAATTGTTCCCTGTGTTTTTCGGCATCTTCGTCGATTACGGTTTCACCAGTGAAAGTTTTTTTGACGGCCGACCAGAATTTTCCTGAAATTTAAAAAAAAAGCAATTATAAGTAATGAGAAATAGCATCACTCCTTTCTTATGCAATAAAAGAATAATTTTTTAGTCATTGTTATCGAGTCACGAAGGTACCGAAAGAACCGGGAATTAATAATTTCGAGTCCCGGTTCCTTGATATCCCAAAAGAACCGGGAATTTCCGGTTCTGAACCCTAGTTACCATATTATCAAGAAATTATGTTTTTTAACTAAAAACTAAAAAAAATATCCAGATTTTTTTTTTTCAAAAAAAATTGCACGGAAAAATCCTCATATTTCTGGGGCCAAATTATACTACCCCTAAAAATATTTGCACTTATTTAAGACTCACCCTGTATAGGGCGATTCACGGTTATGGTACGTTATAGCGTTTCCGGAACCGGAGCTGTTTTTCGGGACCGGTAATTTCGGTACCATGCCTCTAAGGAACCGGGATTTCCAGTTTTTTTTCGGTACTAGCAAATTTTTGTTCAATGATGGTGCAGTTAAACAGCAAGCAAGGGATGGTTGTCAAAAGTAAAATCGATAAAATATTGAGGTTTAAATGAAAATAATACCAAATTATTAAGTAGTAATCAGTATAGACCTGTTCGGTCTTTATCTCAACACCGGTGTTCATTTCAGCACCGGTGTTCATCTACAAAACCGGTGTTTATCTCGACACCGGTGTTTCTCTCAACACCGGTATCGAGATGAACACCGGTGTCGAGATCAACACCAGTGTCGATGTCGATGGTGTCGTTTGTTTTTTTTTTAATGGAATATTTTTAGTTAATTTTACAGCTACGAATTTTTGTTTCTTTATGTTTTGTTTTGTTTTCTATTTGTTTTTGATTAAACAATTTTTTACTGTATAGTTGTTTATCAGACGTTTCCACTTTATTTTAGTGATTAGTCTGGCAAAAAAATTATATTTAAATTTGAAAGCTTCAAATTAAAGTCGGTGCGCTTTAATAAACGATAAAAATAAGCACCGATACGACATTATTATTATCAGGTTTATTTTGAACTTCTTAATTAACATTATTTCTTCTTTAACCCGTTTACCAAACACCAGTGTCGATACCAAAACCGGTGTTGTAGTCAAAACCGATATCGAGATGAATACCGGTATCCAGACCAACACCGGTGTCGAGATGAACACCGGTGTTGTAGATGAACACCGCTATCGAAATGAACACCGGTGTCGGTGTCGACACCGGAACACCGGATAGCCCATATTTGGCCACCGGTGTCAGCCCAACACCGGTGTTAAAACGGTATTCCGGTCTTTGGAACAAGCCTAATCAGTCATGAGAAAATTAAGCTGAACACAAACATGATCACAAATGACTCTCAAAAAAACTCAAAGCACAAATTACTACAACCAATAGCAGCACACAAGGCCAGGTCACAAGGTAAGGTAGAGATCTGCACGGGCCGGGTAGCCCGAACGGGCCTCAGGCCCGAACCCGGGCCTCGGTCAATAATTCGGCCCGTGTAGGTCTCAACAGTAAGGCACTCATTTTTTGTCAATCCGTCTCTGTGCTGGGACGCAACGCTCGAACCTCGCAGGTCGACGGACGGACCTCAACTGAAACGCTCTGCAATCTGCCGATATTCGACAGATTGTAAAAACTTTCAAAAAATATTTGGGAGAGTGCAACTACTCTTTTCCTTCTACTATGCTAATAATACCTACTCCGTTTATTTACTGTACTCACCAAATCCGCTTTTGATTTTTTTCGGTTTGGTTTCTGGGAACTCCCAAGCAAGGTCGATACCGTCAAATCCGAAACTTTTAACTAATGTGTGAGCAGAGTTTATAAAGGCCAAACGATGGGCTGAAGATTCAACCTGAAATTTAAATGTAATTGTTCACATATTTACGTATACAGGGTGGCCCATTAGTGCTAGAAGTCTAATATTGTCGTTGTTGACAAATATATGAAAAACAGTTTTATATAGATGTTGAATGGTCTATAATGGTGCATATCCTAAAAATATTTAGTTGTATACAGAGTGTGCAAAAAAGATGATTATGATGAAGTTTTAAGTTTTTTTAAATTGCACTCCCCTTTTTCTGTACATATTTGGATTCAGTATAAAATAATTCTGCATATAGTACACTATTTTTGTTTGAATCAGTATGCGGTGTCGCTATATTCTATTTTTTATTTACTAACTTTAACTTTAGTTAAAAACACTATATCCGAAAAGTGGTTAAAAACTGAAGTGAATATAACTTGATTAATACCTAGTTATATTTTTCTAAACACCAAGAATAACAGAATAAATCCACACAAGAAAATTTGCATTATCCTATATAGGATATTTTTTATGGCGTCGGTCGCCAATATCGCAATAGTTGTGTCTGTGAGGTTCAAGTTATCGTCTCCTTTCTGCTGCAATGGCTAAACTGGACGGGACCTATTTTGTTTACGCGGAATCCGAACCGCGGTCCTCGGCCATATCATGGTCAATGGCCTACCGACTTGGGAAGTGTCTAAATTAACTCTTACTCACGAGATATCCGATCTCATCCGGCCTCGAACCGGCGTGAATGAGCAGTGTGTATCAATAGATTTTACACTTTTCCCTTGGACAACATCACGATGCAAAGTTTCGAACTGGTCACCCGTCCATCCACTAGCATCGTCTTACCTCGCTTAACTTCGGTGTTCTAATGGGAACCGGTGTTTCGACGTAGCTGGGCCGTTGCCCGTCGCAATAATTAAAATGTTATACCTCTATTTTTTAAATGCAATACTCTGTATATAATTTTTCCTTTAAGTATAAAAAAAATATTATTATTTATTTTAAAGTATTTTAAAATGTCTAGCGGTTTCACAGATATTTTTTGTGTTATAAATATTACATATGGGGTTTTCAACAGTAAAATACTAGATAAAGATTTTTAGGTGGTTTTGATAAAAATTTACTGTTGAAGTTGAAAGAGCCATATGTAATATAATACCCCGAATATCTGCGAAACCGCTAAACAGTTTAAAATACTTTAAATACACAAAATGTTCATTTTATAATTCTCCATTTAAAAGTAAAATAATATACAGGGTGTTGGGTTAAAGAAATTGAGAAATAGCATTTTAAACATTGCGATGTTGGGGACGCCATAAAAATTACTTTGTATTAGATAATGTAAATTTTCCTTCGCAGGTTTATTCTGTTATCCTTGCTGTTTAAAAAAAATATGGCTAAGTATTAATAAAATCGAATTTACTCTAGTTTGTAACCACTTTTCGGATATAGTGTTTTTAAAGAAACTTTCAATAAATGTGAAATAGAATGGCAACAGAGCAGAGTGCTGGAAATAAAAATAGCGTACTATATGCAGAATTTTATGCTGAATCCAAATCTGTATAGAAAAATGAAGGGTGACTCAACTCATTTAAAAAAAAATTAAACCTTATCATAACTTTTTTTGGGTTGGTTACACCCTGTACCAGTGGCGGATACAGGGGGGGCCCATGGGGCCCCGGCCCCCATAAAATCTATAAATTGGGTTAAATATTAGGCTTTTGGGTTAAAAATGGCGACCTAAAAAGCATATTCTACATTATTTTTTTTCTTTGGCCCCCCCCCTAAAATAAATTCCTGTATCCGCCCCTACCCTGTATACAACAAAAAGGAAACCAAGATGATTTTGTTTTGTGAAATATTTAGTATCACAGTTTCACAAAAAAAGCAGCTTGGGTTCGCAAGAAAATAAACGCTCTCTATCTAAAGGTGGGTATTCACTTGCAACAAAACACTCTGAACGAACCAAACGCGCCGCGCACTCCAATCAATCTGCAACAAAACATTTTCAGGGCGCGCTCCGAACGACCTGCAACAAAACATTTTGCGCGGAGCGTTCCGCCTGTTTGCTGTGTTCGCTGCATTCCCACCAGTAATCAGTGTTAGTGTGTTTGTCGACATGGATGCATCTGATATTACCATAGCCGCTGGTGTTTTTTTTAATTATAGAGGCATTAGCGGGTAACAAAAAAGGAAAATACGAAAAATATGAGCAAGACGCCTCTCTTTGCGCCGTCAAAATATGGCCTTACTTAGTGACCTAGATTATGTGCATATTAAAAATTTAATTAATTTAATAAAATAGGCTGCCTTTCAAACTCATCAACTAACTCTAAACACTTTTCTCTGTTCCACTCCATATATAGCTAGGTACAGTTTAGAAACACCACAAACACAACGAACGTTCAAAACTGTCGTATCCACCGAACACCGGCCAACGAATAAATTCTTTTGAGCAAATCCCGTTTACCGACAAGCTTCGGAAAATGTTTGGCGCGTTTGGTTCGGTTCGGCGCGGCGCAACGTACTGACTACACAAACTTGTCACAGTGCGCGCGGCGCGTTTGGTTCGTTCGGAGTGTTTTGTTGCAAGTGAATACCCACCTTAATATTTTATCTTTACTTCTCTGTGTTCCAAGTGAGAAAGTGAAATAACACTCACTTGGAAAACCAAACAATGGATTAATATTTTATAAAGCTAAATCATCCAAACTTTTATCTAAATTAGATTCTAAAAAGCTTTTAAAGAACGGGTTGTGTGAAGAACCCCGTATTCTGTATACAGGGTGTTTCAAAAAACATGTGCCATCTGTCATGGGGAGATTCTTCACCTAAGAATAAGATTTATTTTTCATATCAACATGGGTCCGATTCTGCTTTGTTTAGTAGCTACAGGGGGTTAAAGTCTTCATCTTTTTTGGATGTATTATAATTTTCTTCCAAGTACTTTTAGCTATTCGAATGAAATTTGGACGGTAAAAGTTACTATGAGTGATATAATTATGATAGTTAGTGATATAAATTAGTGATATAGATATAATTCTATAAAAGTGTCGACAGATTCACCAGGGACATGCATAGGACTTATCACTTGAATATTTTTCTAAAAAACATGTGCACCTCTGACTTTTTTTCCTCTTATTAGCAAAAGTGTGTAGGCCAGTTTAATGTCGATTAAAAGTTGTATCTTGATCTCTCCAAAAATCCTATATGGGTTGCGACTGCAAGAAAATCTTCAAAATAAAATAGTTATCTTTTGTAAACACTTCTGCGTTAATCCCAAACGGAAACTACTTGTCAGAAGTTCGGTTTACAGATATAGAAATTTGCCTAACCCACAAAAAAATGCTTAACGTTTCGGAAAGTTTATCTCTTTCCGTCATCGGAAGCAAAAAAAAAATACAAAGAATATAGAAAACAGCTATTTAAAATATTTAAATTCAACTATTCGAAAACACTTTAGTTTTTTTAAAACAGATACGTCTACAAAAACCATTGACGTTCTGTTAAAATGACATTATATCAAGTTAAACTTCAAAATTAATAATTACTACCTGATAACAATTACTTAATAAGGTAAAACCAAAAAGCCCCAAACTTTCTGTATGATTATTTTTAATTTTTAAGTGTGTTATGTTCTTTAAAATAAAAAATAACGATTGCCCTACATTACTAACATCTACAGATGCATGATCAATACATTTATTTTTATTAGATTGTATTAAAAAGCCTCTTTTATTTTTCTTTTAGAGACTATCGCTTCTTTCATTATAATTTTGGCTTTATTAAAATTTATTCTGTGCCCTGTATCCCATGTATGCTGACAAATCTTAGATTTGTGAAAATCTCCCTTTCTTAAATAATCTTTATGTTCTTTAATTCGAACATTTAGGGGTTTAGATGTTTCACCAATGTAAAATTTATCGTATTCACATGGTATTTGGTATATTACATTTTTTGTTTGTTGTTCTGTATTCATTGGTTTAGTATGTGATAAAATGGATCTAAGTGTATTTTGTATTTTGAAAGATGTTCGTATGTTATATTGTTTTCCTATCCTTCTTATTTTTTTCAAAACGCTTCGTATATATGGAATTGTAAGTTGTATATATTATATTGTGTGTATCATTGTGTCTATAATTTGGGGTTTGCATTTCTTGATGTTTTAGTGTCAAAGTTTTAAAATAAACTAATCTTAGATGTTTACAGAAAACCCACAAACACAGATAGCAGATACTTAAGTTTCACATCTAATCTCGTATAAATGTAAAAAAGGTGTTATAAAAAGTTTATATGATAGGCGCCACCTGTCGGAGAAGCAAGTAACTAACACGTGTATTGCTGGTTGCCTACATTCACCAGAAAGCAAAAGACATTTTAGGCGCCATCTCTTAATGAAGTCGACAAGTAAGCAAATCAGACAATAGAATTTACTAGTAGATGGCAGAAAAGTATCGAAAATTACAGAAGGTTCGAGAAACAGTCAGTAGAGTATATAAAGCGCTCGGTAGTTGAAGACAGTTTGAAGTTCGATAATACCGCGTTTTAAATTGTGAATTAATTGGCAAAGGTGCCAGGAAAGTTAGAGTAATAGTAGTTGCATAAATTGTGTTTTATAATCAGTATAAATTGTGTGTATTATAAAGTGAGAAATCAAATTCGTTAAGTATTTTTATCGTGAGTTTAAATTAGTAGACCCACGGAATCCGTAACAATATGATAAACTTTCCGAAACGTTAAGCATTTTTTTGTTCGTTAGGAAAATTTGTATATCTGTAAACCGAACTTCTGACTAGTAGCTGTGCTAGTAGTTTCCGTTTGGAATTAAATCAGAAGGGTTTACAAAGAATAACTATTTTATTTTGTAGATTTTCTTGCAGTGGCAAAATACCCATATACGATTTTTTGGAGAGATGAATCCGCTACATAGGTATAGATATTTTTTTGTATCTTGATATTTTGTCCATTTCGATCTCCTCGATGAGATAAACGCTATTTTATTAGCTATTAATGTACCTAATTAATTACTAAATTTTATTAAAATTTATAATACATTTAAGCAGAATCGGATCTATGTTAATATGAAAAGTAAAACCTATTTTTACGAGAATGAGTGAGGGAGAATGAGAATATACTCTCAATGAGAGATGGCACATGTTTTTTGAAACACCTTGTATAATAACCTATACTATTACAACTTACTACTTCTCTGTATTTTAAATTCTTCTCTTGGCCTTCTCCACTAATGTCGTCGTTACCTCCAACGGAAAGAAGGACTTTGAGTTGTGGATGTCTGCTCTTCAAACTGGTTACGTGTCTGTAGTTATCTTTGATAACGTCGAATTGCTCGTTCAGAGGTACAAGTTTTAAGCTTTCATCGTTTATAGCTGCATAACCGTATACAAGATGAGTACAATACTGTAAGGCCGGTTCTAAAAAGGACAGTTCGAATTTTCCCTGACCTGCAACAATAAAATGTGTAAACTTTGTATACAGAAAAGTTATATACAGGTTGAGTTTCCTACGATGTTCTCTGTGGGTATCTCGGAAACTACTGAAGATAGAGAGTCGGTTAAATGGGGAAAGAATTGCAATTTTGTGGGGTCATAAATATGCGCCTTTCAGATCTTTGAGAAAGGTTATGGCTTACTAGATATTTAAAAAAAAAAACAAATTTCGGATATTTTAAAAATTGTCCATAATTCCATTATAATCTATTTTAGACAAAAAGTTTTCAGATAAAAGTTGCAGATAATCACATCCCTAATGAGTTTGTGTTCTCCGATTTTTTCTAAAGCCTGTAATTTTTGACGTACACAAACATATGTTTTTTTAAATGGAAACCATATTTGGCCATTACTTCATAAAAAGCGCCATTTTTAAAGCTTTTCAGCGATGTAAGCTATAATATGTTTTTTTTCGAAAAATTACTGAGTTATAGCCAATTTTTATTTTTCTTGACTAATTTCACTTAGTTGGTATGGTATTCTTATTCTGTTATGATTTACTAGCGTGTACCAGCGCCTTCGTTCGCGTCGAATTAATTATTTGTAATGGTGATGATAAAGGAAAGCAAGAATTTCCATTAACATACAAACTGGATAAAATTTTCTCACATTTATGTCAGCATGAGAAAAAACAATATGGCGATATTATTATATAACTTGGTAATATTTGAGAGGTAGTTTCATCTCGTTGGAATTTGACTTTCGAAAAATCCGTTTGCCAAAAATAAGCTTTTTACGTCAAGCAGTTTAAGCAGAATCGTGGTTAAGAAATTACCCAACTTTTTGGAACACCCTGTATGATTTTTAAAAAATTTCAAAATATGTAAAAAAAATTCACAGATTTTGCAACATGCGCAACCATCATAGGCGTATTGAAAATACCAGACACAAGTCGGCGGTTGTCGAAGAAAAAAACTTTTTTTACACACCCCTTAATTTTAAATGAACTTATTCGATACTTTACGGTCACCCTTATAATGTTTACTACTGAACTGTGATATTTATTTCTTGGTTACAGAAACCATGCAATGTAAGGTCGTGGCGGTAAGCAGCAAAAATAAATTACATTAAAAAAAATTAATGTAAAAAGTTTTTATTATTTTTCTAAAGTAATAACCATAAATATAAAATCTTGACACTTAGTGATGGTGGTTTCATTATGTTGTTTCTTGCATTGGACTTTCTTAATTAAATATAAATCTGAAACAAAATTTCAGATTTTAACGGTAAGTACCTATAATTTCTTAATATTAATTCTGAAAACTAAGAAAGTAAACGTAATAATAATTAATATCGGTTTAAAGGTCGAAACTACCAGTTTGATTAGATTATCGATGTATACTCTGTTTTTTTATCAGGTAAGACAGACGATGACCAGAAAATCAGATGACATCCCATACCAATCTATTTATTTTACTAAAAAAAGTTTCCAATATTTTTTAAGTTAGCTATGGATGGGTTTAAACATAAATCCGTCATACGTCGTCTCTTGTTGATTTTAACCAGTATTGGTTTATTTCAAAAATGACAGATAATATTTCAATTTTACTGGTTTGACGGAACGATGAACGACAAACGGACGCCGGATTAGGATTCTAAGTCCCTCAATTTTAATATTGTTGCGAGCCGGTGTGGACTCGACCTAACCTCACAATATGGCCCGCCCTCGGATGACCTTAACATCGCACAGACACCGCAATGATTCATTCGTTCGAGAAGAATCGAGACCCACTAGAATGGACTCGTACATACGAGAACATTCGAAAACCTTCTCTATGCACCTAACGATCTATGGACTATTCTAGTAAACTTTAACTGTAGGTATAAAAGCCGGCGGCTGTGGCCTAGAGAGGGCAGTTATAAATATACCAGTGCAGTTGACGCGCTAAAATTCAAAATAAATTCTTAGTTATAAATCGTTTGTAAATAGTTCTATAAGTCTTTTATCGTTATTGTTTTTGTTAATTAGTGTTAAATAAATAGTGTTTAAATAAATTGTGACTTTCTATCCACACGGAACCGACGAAAAACGTAACAATTGGTGTCAAGTGTGGCGTGTGTGATAGACTAGGAAAATAAAAAGACAGACAATGGCTCCGAAAAAATTGTTGAAAGACTTGAAAGTGTCGGAATTAAAATGCGTATTGGAAGAGAGGGAATGCGAAACAGATGGAAAGAAAAGCATTTTACAAGCCAGACTGAGAGACGTTTTTGATTGAGGAAGGTGAGGATCCTGACACATTTTGCTTTTGAGCTGGAAGGTGACCTTGACTCGTCCTTACAAAAATTAGACGACAACTTCAACAATTTGAATAGTAAAATAACTGACTTGGAAGTTAATTTAGAAGATAAGATCTCAGAAAATTCTAAAGACATACAGGCCAGCTTCAATAATAAAATATTGAATTTAGAACAAAGTTTATACAACAAGATAACAGAAAACTCCAAGGAATTAGAAGAAAAAGATAATAGATACACAAGACAAAATAGCACAGATTGAGGACGATGTTAACAGAAAAATCGAAATTTTAAAAGAAGAAATAGCGAAGTCAAATTCACCAAAATGTCAAGAAACATCGGAGGACCGAAACTAGTCAGAAAATAGGTATGCCTCAAAATCAGTTATAAAACCTCCACCGTTTGACGGAAAAACCGCTTGGGCCAATTATTTTTTGCCAGTGTGAGGCCGCTGCGAGAGCGAACGGATGGACAATCGCTGAAAAGGTTACCGCTTTGACTGTCGCACTGCGAGAGATGCACTGATATCCTGCAGACACTGTCACCATCGGAACAGGGAGATTATCAGCAATTGGTACGACATTTAGAAATGAGGTACGGCCAAGCTCATTTGGAACATGTCTATCATTCACAGCTAAAAAATCGCATTCAAAAGTCAAATGAGTCTCTGCAGGAGTTTGAAGCCGACGTAGCCCGCCTGGTTCGCCTTGCGTATCCTGCTACGCCCGAGAATGTTATGGAGCGGTTGGCAGTACAGACATTCTCCGATGGCTTACGTGACAGGGAGACAAGGCAAGCGCTTCTTCTAGCCCACCCAACGCGCTTGGTGGATGCTTTAGCACGTGCCCTAGAATTTGAGGCCGCGAAACAGTTCTCGGTCTCTAGTGAGAGTACGGGCGGTCAACCAATGTTCCGACAAATCCGTGGAAAGCATTGTACGGAAAGTCATGGAGGAGTACATGGGCAAGAAAGGACCGACTTGTTGCTGGAATTGCGGCCAGGCAGGACACGTAAGAAGTCACTGTCAAGAAAAAGACGTGGACTCGGTTTCGCCAAGTGTCGAATCAAAGGGACACATATGGAGCAGTACCCAACAGGTTCCAACGAAAACTGTTCAAGTCGCATCGCTACAACACAAGTTCAACAGCATTTTTGTGGCTAGTTTCGTGGATGGAGAGTTACGGACCATGCTGTTGGATACGGGTGCGACCAAAACGATCATCAGGCCGGATATCCTTAAAACATCAAAAAGGATTAAAACAACACAATGGCGACTACGTACAGCTACAGGAAGCTGCGCTCTCATCCATGGAGAGGTAGATCTTAATTTTGTTATCGGAAGCACCTGTTTTAATCATCGAGTGTTAGTAGCAGACATCGAAGATGAACTTATTCTCGGAATGGACATCGTGACCACTAGAGGTTTTGAACTAAACCTCAAACAAGAAATTTTGAAAATAAATGAAGAAGAAGTGGTTCTACATCGAAAATGTGAGGAGACGCTTCGCGTGGTAGTAGCAGAAGATGTTTCGATCCCTGAGCGCTGTGAGATATTTTTGGATGGTCGCCTGGAAGGTAAAACGAATAATGGGAGTATTATTCTGTTGGAGCCAAGGAACCATGACAGCGAAATAGGACGAGGGGTCGCTGTTGGAAAACCCCTGCTACGAGCGAAGAAGTCTGTACCGGTAAGAGTAATGAACACGAATTATCATTCTGTATCCTTGAAGAAGGGAACCCTGTTAGGGTACTGTTGTTCGGCCTCCTCAGTCATTCGAAGCGTGGAAGCCTCCAAAGTTTCGATTTCAAAAATTCCGGACAAAATGGTTAAGGAGTTAGTAAACGTTAAGGGATTATTTCCCGAAGATAGTAGAAAATTGAGAAACCTGATAATCAAGTATCAAGATGTGTTTGATAAAGGAGAAGCAGGACATAGAGGTCGTACCAATTTAGTACAACATAAAATTGACACCGGAGATGCACGACCAATCAAACAAAATCCGAGTAGACTGCCGCTCGCCAAACGTGAAGAAGCTGACAAAATCCTTCGAGAAATGAAAGAAGAGGGTGTCATCGAACCATCTAACAGCCCGTGGACATCGCCGGTAGTACTAGTAAAGAAGAAAGACGGTACCACCAGGTTCTGTGTTGATTATCGGCAACTTAATAATGTTACCAAGAAGGATAGCTATCCCCTGCCGAGGATAGACGATACTCTAGACAGGCTGGCGGGATCGACTATATTCTCTACCTTAGATCTGAAGAGTGGATATTGGCAAGTCGACATGGCGCCGAAAGACAGAGAGAAGACAGCGTTCTCGGTGGGCTCCGGACTGTGGCAATTTACCGTCATGCCTTTTGGATTGTGCAACGCGCCAGCTACCTTTGAGAGACTAATGGAGTCTGTGTTAAAGGGACTATCCTGGACTACCTGTTTAGTGTACCTGGATGACATCATAGTGGTTGGGGAAATCGCTTGACGATCATCTGAAGAATTTGGAAGAAGTTTTCAAGCGACTAGGGCTCTGGTTTGAAACTAGCCCCAAGAAATGTCATCTGTGTCAAGAAAAGGTACACTACTTGGGCCATGTAGTCTCCTCCCAAGGAGTTGCGGTAGATCCACAGAAGACCAAGACAGTGGAAGAGTGGCCGATACCTAAAGATAAACATGAACTACGAAGCTTTTTGGGACTATGCACATACTATCGCCGCTATGT